GCCAACCAGACGCATTCGCATTCGGTTTCGCGAGAGCCCCCCCCTCCCCCCCAGGAGCTGAGGGGCTGAGAGAGAGAAAGAGAGAGAGAGAAAGAGAGAGAGAGAAAGAGAGAGAGAGAGAACAGGTTGAGATAGATACGTAAGTGGCAGGCAGGCAAGTAGGCAAGTACCAGCAGCAGCGACAATAAACATGCCCGTTCTCTTTGCGTCAATCTTGGCATTTTTCCGTGATTTGAATCGGCCGTAGGGATGTGATGAACGACGAGTGAGGTCCTACTACTCCCCCGTGACCGGATGCAGCGAACTTCGTAAAAGGAAAGGAAAGGATACGGATTACAAGGGCGGCGTCCCATTTCCTATTCGTGGGCACCTCCACTTTACTCGGGACCTTGGTTTCCCCCCCCCCCCCCCCCGTCTGTGATGGCTACCTTACGCTACATGGCTTTTCTTTGCAATGCATTGGCGGTGGCTTGTCCGGGAGACATTGTGGTCTGTGAAGCATTATTCCGATTCACGGCAGCAATGGTTGAGATCATAAGAGTCTTGCAGTCCCAATGCCTATGCTGTCACAAAGATCAAGCAGATCCTCTCATCTCACCTGCATTGGTGCCGCTGGATATAGGGAAAAAAAACTCTATGAGGGCATCATCATTATCGTGCTTTCTCCTCTGCCTTGCTATGTTTGTCCTCTACGGACCAAATCTACTCTACATCAAAACATGACCCTCCCCGAATCTCCAAGATACCAACCACCGCTACACGGCCACTAATTTGGCGCCTCAATCGACGGACCCTTCTCATCCACCTTGACGATCAAGTCGTGGTTCACCCTCAAATTCTCCGCCGAGCTGAGAGCCTTGGTGACCGTCGTCTCGTGCCTCTCCTGCGTGATCCGCCGCAGCGCCGTCATCAAAAACCCGGCCACGACTTCGACGGACCACTGGTCGGGAATCAGCGCCAGCACATCCTCGACGTCGAACCAGCCCCCGAAACGCTCCAGCAGCGCACCCGTCTGCTCAATCTGGTCGCTGACGTCCTGTATGGCGAGGAACTCGCCGAGGACAGCCCGGAATAGCCGCGCTTGCATATCGTGCGTCGGCGTGCTCTCCCGCCTACCGTCCGGACGGGTGTAGATGCTCGAACCGCCGCGCAGGCAGTACGAGACAGCCGTATCGTAGTCACCCAGCTTGTGTACGAGGAGCCGGATGGCATCCTCGTGGCGTCTTTCGCGGCCGTCGAGGATGATGGTCTCCGGGACGAGAAGCTCGTCCGGCAGCGCCGAGATGCGCTCCCTGATGGCGGCGGCGTCGTACTGGTGAGCACCACCCAACAACTGAAGCAGCCGCAGTCGGCTCTGCCAAACCTCGTCGTCTTCGGGGGCGTTGTCCGTGAGGAACTGTCGATATGTCGGTTTCGGAGCCTGTAGTGCTCTGTATGACGTGTACGTGCCGGCAAACGCGTCTCGGCTTTCTTGCGACGTCTCTAGATCGCTAAGAACAATGTCCAAGTAGTAGGCGATGAGGTCGTTAACGTAACCAGTGTGCCCCTTGCCGAAAACAAGATGCTCTAGGTAATACTTGACTGCGTCGGGGGCCTCTTCACGAAGGATGGCCACAACTTCCGCTGGCTCGAAGCCGGGCGCCTTGCCTTTATCTTCTGCAAAGATTTGTACGCCTAGCTTCGGGTTGCGGCTCGCGAGCCAGACACCGTACTCCCTTACGAGAGCCTGGCTACTAATCTTCGTGAGATACTCGCGGACGCGCTGTTCTCCATCTTGCAACTCGCCTCCATAGTCGGCCTCACCCTCGACGATACGCCGCCAGGTTGCAAGAACGTCGCCCGCCATCTTGCGGCTCTGGTATAGTCGACTGAGTACGAAGAGGCGGTGGTATGACTCCAAAAGAGAGGCAGCTCGATCGAAGCAGTCTACGCCCTTGTCGACAACATCGTATAGCTCTGATCGGACAGACGAGCTCTTCCTCGCCAGGCCTACGGGCGAAGTCTGGTCAAGCTCGAGGAGCACCAGTAATAACGCGGCATCGACGGTACGGAACACCTCACTCTCGTCTGCAACGCTGCCAAATCCCTTCTTCTTTCTCCACGCGGCTAGGAACCGCCGCAGAAACTGTACGACTTTGCTGTCGAGGTCCCCTATTGAGTGGCTGTCTTTGTGAAAATGCTCGCTTTCCAAGTAGTTCTCCGTTGTTCTCTTGACGCCGCCAAAGATCCAGATGCCTCTTCGGCTCTCAACAATCTCATTCCGTAGGCCGGGTATCAAAGACAAAACAACGCGAGGATCCAGACTACTCTCCACCAAGACTTCCTCCAAGGCTTTCAACTCAGCGTCTGTGAAAGGCGCTTCTGTCGCATGCAATAAATTGGTAAGAAGAAGAACGCCAGCACGCTGGCGCAGGTAACTGAATGTCACAAACTCCAGCTCCGACTTGGCATCCTGCCCTCTAAACGAGTTGAGTACCGTGAAGATTGCACGTCGGTTGAGCTTGGCCGGGTCTGACGTCCCGTCTTGCTCGCATGCAGCTTCTAGTCTGGCTTCCAGCCGCAGCAACATTGGGTTCCGAATTGCCCACCAAATGTGATCCTTTGCCCACACTGCTATCCTGGAGTTGGCATTTGCCAGTCGTCTTGCAAATTCACTCTCTTCAGCATTTCTGTTTTCTTCCCACCCCTCGGGTAGTGCGTCTTCTTCCTGGGAGTCTACATCACGCTCGAACAGTTCTCGTTCTTTTGTCATCTGCTCTAGAGATGATGCGGTGCGAGAGTCTGCGCTTCTCGGTGAGAATATCGGGTTTTCGGCAAGGCCTCCAGGAAACGGGGAGAACTTCCTCTGGCAAAGTCTTTCGACAATCTCTTCGAAATGGGTCTCGTCGGTACCCATCAGCGAGCGAATACCCAAAGGTGTCGTTTCATCTCCTCCTGATGTTTCCGTCTCCAACCACCATTTGGAAGTTTCTGGGTCCGCCCCGTCCGGATCCCATCTCTGAATCTCCAGTCCGTGACGGAGCCCTGCTTCCGAGTCCTTCGTCATGGATGCAATGACATATCCCTCCTCATCCTGCTCCAGTGTCATCCTGGATGATGCTTGATTAGATGATCCACCGTCAACCACCACTTCTCGCGGGTATCTGTCAAACTCGACAGTCGGTCTCGTTGGGTCTCCGTCAAGGTTCACAAACATCCCGATGCCGGGGTCCAACGGTCCAGTGCCGGTGACAAGTAGGAACTCTTCGGCGGTCGGCGAAACAATGTGGGGTTTGAGGAAGACGGGAGCCGACTTTGTTGGAGAGGTCTCCGCGCGAGCAGTACTAGGCGCCGCTGGCAAGGGCTTGTCTGTTAATGGCGGCGGCAAGGGGCCTTCGCCCGAGGGTCTTGGACTCGCAGATGGAGTTGGTGGTGAAGATCCTTGCCGTGTGCTATCATCAGCTCCTCGAGGGCTGAGGTCCCTCCGTCCACCGCTGAGCAGACCGCCCAGGCTCGTGCTTCTAGCATGGCCGTGAGCGTCACCAGCGGAGAGGAGTGGTCGGTTGTGGGCGGCCGATGCACTTCTCAAGATACCGCCATCTACACTGCCTGCAATATCTTGAGCCTGGCCTATTTCACCCGCAGGCTGTGAGTCGTCCAAGGAGGATATGGTCATAAGCGGAATTCTAAGCTGCCTGCCAACATCGAGCAAGGAGTAACTTCGTGAATCAGCAACACATGCAATGGAGTCGCGACGGATCGATATTGTAGTTCCGGGTACGTCGATGTTCTAAATAGGCGTTAGCCACTCATCGCTTACAGGACGAGGCATTGCGTACCTTGACTGCTCTTGCAACCTCCCCGATCCTCACAACCTGAATCCTTCGCATCAACGACAGGAGGATAAATACCCCTGCAGCGGATTCATCAACATCATCTTGGGGATCGTTCAAGTCCACCCCGCCAACCCAATTGCAGTTCTTCACCTGCGTAGTTCCGAATACGGGGCTGAATTCGGGCAAAGAGTAGAAGGTGACGGTCTGGTTACAAAGCACACAAGCCTTTCCGACTTTGGGCAAAAGGAGAATCTGTTGGATGCCTGGGAGGGCGTTGCTGTTCTCGGCAAAGGCCGGCCGCAGACGGGAGGCAAGTATAAAAGACGGTCGTCCGGTCGGATCGGCAGGGTCGGCTGGGATTTGAACGAAATGAAGCAATTCGGATGCGCTCGTGCCGATGTATAGGTTGTGGTCTGGTGGAAAAATGGTCAGCGGAGTTATCGGCCATGGAAGAGGTGGTATCTACCTACCTAGGTATTCAACGCAATTAATCTTGGTCCCCTCGTCAACACCATCTGCCGACAATGGCACATCCTCCAACAATGTGCGCAGGACAAAGGGCCCGTCATTGCGGGAGATCGCATTGGAGCTCCCGGACGCAGAGGAGGTCTGGTCGTATGGATCCTCGGATGCCATGTTAAATCAGTCGTGCTATCATGAGTGCCGTAATGCCATTGTCGAGCTCATGCGACGATCGTCTCGAGGCGCGAAAGGGTCGTTCTGCTGGGAATATGATGCAGCTGGGAAGCTCCGAAGCTGGGCTGGTAATCTGATGACATGGTCCAGTGGTGTAGGTACATCACCTTAGGTACCTACAGCTAACCGTAGGCGGATTACGTAGCCCACCTGTCCTGAGTGACCGGGTCGCTGTGCTAGAGGTTCTGGCGCAGGCATGTGCCTGGGGCTGCCCCGTAGGGACGGAAACGACCAGCTGTTGCTGCCTCTGAACCCCTGCATGCCGTGCGCAGCCAATCAACTTGCTGCCCGGAAAGGGAACACGTTCCCCGAACCAGCGAGCTCAGTCGAAACACTTTCGATCTGTACCGAACGACAACAGCTACAACGGACACCGGCGGATTGAACCACAACTCTTCAACCCCACCGTCAACCTCGACTTCTTGGAGTTCCATGGGCTCCCGGTGATGAAGTGATCATTCAAGTTGCGACCGAGAAAACCGACCCAACATGGCAGACGTAGAATCCGTCCTGGCGGCCAATGCCAACGCGCCGCAGCCAGACGCACCTTCAGACACTCCCAACCTGCCCGAGGGCGGCAACAAATTCCAGCATGCCATCTCGGCCTGGAGAAGTGAGAAGCCTCCCTTGGCTGTAGCTTTGGAAACGCAGTCTGACCGAGCTAGCTATCGACTACACGAACCTCGTCGCAAACCTCGACAACACTGCCTCCGAGATCGTCACATACCAGCGAGACTCGACTGTTCAGAGAAAGGAACTAGCCCAAAAGACAAAGGACTTCAGGAAGCTCGATGATACAACAAAGTTGGGCGAGATCAAGGGCCTATTGAAAGGTATGGCGTCTTCATTGCCGAGCCGTTACTCTCACTAAACGAATAGCGTACCAAACTTTTATCGATCTCCTTACGAACCATTCAAAGTCAATCAACTCGGCCTTCCTCCAGACATACACATCCTTATCCGATGCGCCCGACCCATACCCGCTTCTTGAAGCGTCGGTCGACTCGATGCTCGTTTCCGAAGACACTCTTCCGAAGCTGACTGAGGAAAACCAGCACCTTCAAAAGTCCGTCGCTAAGCTGACGACCCAGCTTGAGGATACCGAGAGCAAGTTGCAGACAGAATCTGCCGCGAAGAGGGAGCTCGAAAGCAATCTGGATAGCAGGGTGAAGGAGGTGGAGGCTTCGTGGGTGGCGGTGCTCGATGAAAAGAAGGACAACTGGGCCGCGAAGGAGAAGACATTAGAAGAAAAGGTCGAGAACCAGGAGCGTCTGCTCACCGAGATCAAGGCGAGCTACGAAGTCAACCAGCGCCTCGGAAAGACAGACGATGGGGATGCGGAGGGCCAGGCAGGCCACGTCACCAGTGCCGAAATCGAGATGCTTCACTCAGACCTAGACCGGACCAGTCAGCGACTGGCCGAGATCGAGGCCCGGAACGAGCAACTGCGACTGGAACTGGCACAGGCAAAGTCATCCGCGACCACCCAGACACCCACGTCCTTGGAAGACGACCCTGCTTACATGCGCATGCGGTCGGAAAATTCATCACTCATCCGGAAGCTAGACGCTAGCAGGGTTGAGAAGGAGGGGCTCAAGCGTGATCTGGATTCCAGGCTGCGCAGCTTGGAGAGAGAGGTTGGCCTGCTCAAGGAAGAAAGGGACAATCTCAAGTCCAAGGTGCAGAAGTGGAGTGACTACGACGACGTGAAGCAGGAGCTTGAGGTACTCAAGAGCATCGAGTTCTCCACGGGCGATGATGATGATGTGAAGGATGTGGTCGAGAGTGTCACAGAGTCCAAGGGCCAAAGTGACACCTTGGAGAAGCTTCTCTTGGCACGAAACAAGAAGCTCGGCGACGAGCTGACCATTCTGCGCGTCTCCCACCAGGACTTACAGACTAAACTCTCTGACCTCCAGGAGGACATGTCGCGAACGAATATGGACCTCGAAAAGTCGCAGAAACTGAACGAGCGACTCGAGAACGACCTCGCGACACTGCAGTCAGAGTCGTCCAACGCTTTCCCTTCCGGCGCGTCGGTGGCAGGGACTTTCAACCGCTACGCCCCTTCAATCGCACCGGGACGAAGGGGAGGAGGTGGTGGTGGAAGAGTTTCGCCAACATCGTCCATCATCAGCGGAATCGACCCCCGTATGGGTGGTGGCGGCGAGCCCATGGGCGGCGGCTCCGGCATTCTGCCAATGATCACAGCGCAACGTGACCGTTTCAAAAAGCGAATTGCCGAACTAGAAAGCGAACTGTCGGACACGCATCGCACCGTCTCGCAGCTGAGACAGGAAGTATCAGCTCTGCAAAAGGACAATCTCAGTCTTTACGAGAAGACGAGGTACGTCTCGACATACAATCGGGCCGGACCCTCAGCAACGTCGTCTTCAGCGGCATTCTCATCTAACCCGAACCCTTCAACGATTTCCATTGGAGGCAGCGGCAACCCGGGGATTACAATGGACAGATACAAAAAGGCATACGAGTCGAATATTTCGCCATTTGCCGCTTTCCGAGGGCGGGAGTCTGCCAGGGCCTACAAGCGAATGAGCTTCCCCGAACGAGTGGTATACTCAGTAACACGGATGGTGCTGGCCTCTCGGACTAGTAGAAATCTATTTGCGGCGTACTGTGTCGCGTTGCATTTACTCGTTTTCTGCTCGCTATACTGGCTCGGCACGGTGGACGTGGAGCAGCATGCCAGCAACCTTGGCAAGTCGGTAGCAGGAGCCGCCGCCGCGGGCGCCGGGGGCCTCAAGGGAGGGGCCGGAAACGGCCACGGCGACTGGCAAGAGGAGGGATTTAGTGGGCACTAGACGGTGGTCAGTAAGGTGTCTACTTGGGTTGACGACGAGAGAGAGAGGGAAACAAGATGGATGTCGATTAAGCCAGCGACGAACGACTTTGTGGGCGAAAACTGTATGCATAAAACTTGTTTTTTACCGACAACTGTACGATTGGGCGTTAGGACAAGTGGTATGAACCGCGGCACTACTTTAACTTGGCTTAGTGAGGGATCTTGTCAGAACACAGATGCCAGATCACTTTGAATATTAGCTACCGGGGATGAACGGGAACTTGTTCCATTATCCGAGATCATCTGAGCGAGATCATACCTTGCTTTAGATGGCGTCAAGCAGCGTAGGAAAGCGTGGCTCCCCACCTGGTCCACCACGATGTTCTATTCTAGGTTTTTCTTTCCCGCTTCGACCTAAGGTACAGTAGGTAGGCTTTCTCCAGTCCCGAGCTGCCACCCAAATGACCAGAAAGACCAGCGACAATTCTCATTCGACGAGGGATTCCCGTTTGACGCTGGCCCGTCTGCGCGGCCCGGGTGGGGACATGAACCCTGCAACCAATGAGAGGCTGTCGCGGCCCTAGTTGGAAGCGCGGCAAAAGAAAGCAAACCTGACCTTGGAAAATGTACAAGAGCGGGTACATGCAACGTGGGCGCGTCGCCGGGTCAGAGACGGGTACAACTTTTTACAAGGTGCAACGAAGGTGGTACCGTCCCTGGGTAATCTCAGCTGGTGCGGCCTATCAGGTGTGAGGGTTGACGCGATCTCTCTTGTTGCTATTTCAGGTTTCTAGCCGCTGTGGTTCGCTATTTCGAAGGAGACACACACATGGGGATACACACACACACACACACACACACACACACTCGGTCAAAGTCCAGATGAGGCAGGCCTTGTCTTTCATCGATACTCACCATGTTGATGCGGTTGAACAGACGGATCAAGAAGGACAAAGGCGGACTGAATAGTGCCATGTAATAGGTAGGTAAGGTAGGGTATAGCCGTTTATACGGTTGACAGAAGATAACGCCTAAAGTCGTCTTCACCATCCTCACTCACATAGTACTGCTATCATCCAAAATGACTTGTTTCCGTGAAAGTACCTCAAATACCTTAGGTAAGTGACCCAATCTCAATTTCAGTCCATATAAGATAGACGCAAACACACGGTCGCGACCTCGAATGCTCGAGTCCCAAGCAGCGAGCACAACACCCTCGAAAACGTGGAGCGCGTCGCTACCTGTCACCACTCAACGAGGCCGTTCGAAGCGGGCCGGGCGCTTACATCTCCCCTGACCCCGGCGAAGATCGCCTAGCATCCACACACCCCGCTGGTATTACTTGCATCTCTGCCATTCCACTCATTCGCCCTCGCTCCCACCCATCATCGTCCTCCTGTCCTCTCCCGCCCGTGGTACGGTTGCATGGCATGGCGGCTGGCAGTCTTGAACCATGGGAGCCGCTGCGAATACCGAGCCGTTGCCTCGCACACCACGGCGCCCCTCCCCCGGCTAGGTATCCTGTCCCCCCCGCCATCTTTTTTTGTAACCTTCCATTGAAACCATGCCATTCTGGGCAGGTCAGGAACCTAACGCCCTAATGAGATGCATTGGTGGCCGTTTCTTTGCCGCCGGGGGAGGAGGTAAACGACGTTAGGATGCCGTGGTATATTAGAAACGGCTGCCCGCTTGCACTACGCAACCTGTGTAGCCCACCCCTTCATCTACCACGGTTCATCTCATATATCGAGAGACGAATCTGCTTCGGGTTTTCTTGAGTTTTTCATCATTTCCTAGTCTCGTATTTCATTGGTTTCGTTTGGGTTTTTACTTGCTTGAAATTTTGGTTCGATATTTCCACTCTTCTGGGGAACGAAGCATAATCACCAACACCAACAACCGAACATCATCGAATACCTTGACATCCGCCTCTTTCTACTCCACATTATCACCCCCAGCACACGCGATCACATTCAACCAACATGCGTTGCTCAACACTGTTGGTACCGGCTCTGGCATCCCTTGCCCTTGCTGCGCCAACTTACCCCACGCTCAACCTCCAGGCCGCGTTACCGGGTAGCATCGAACAAATCTCCGAGTACTTCAACATGCTTGCAAACAAGGTTCAGGCCACCAAGTACCTGTCCACCGCACCAGTCTGCGACCTCTCCACGGCTAAGCTACCTGAAGGTGAGTTGAGAGCTCCCCTAGCTTGATATGAAGCTTATATGTACTAACACCACATGCCCAGCCGCAACCGAGACTCTCGGCAAGCCCAGAGACGGCCTGACCCTCATGCACATCGCCATCGGCCGTGGCACCCAGAACTACACCTGCGACACCAGCAACTCGACAGCCATCCCCGTCGCCACTGGCGCCGTCGCGACCCTCTTCAACGCCAGCTGCGTCGGCTCCCTGTACCCGGACCTGCTCGACAAGCTGCCCGTCGTGGCCATGGACTTCAACCTCACCGAGGAGGAGACGAACCGCCGCCTGGGGCCGAGCAACCTCGCCATCTCGGGCCACCACCTCTTCACCGGCAAGGGCGTCCCGCTCTTCATGCTCGAGAACGATGGCGCGTCCGTCGGCGACTCGTACTGCGCCAAGAACGCCTCCATGCCCGCGCCCCTCACGGCCCAGTCCGGTCAGCACGGCGAGGCGGCGGTCCCCTGGCTCCGGCTGCGTACCGTCGAGCCCAGCACCGGGGACGTCCAGGAGGTGTACAGGATACACACCGTCGGCGGCAGCGCGCCGGCTTCGTGCCAGGGCCAGGCTGCTACGATCGAAGTCCAGTACGCTACACAGTACGTTCGAACTCACCCTTTGACTTGAGACTTTATGAATCCGTGTGACTTACAAGAAGCTTTAGATACTGGTTCTTTTCTGGCCCCGCCCAATGAGTCCGTACCGGCTTGATTAGTACCCGTTCTGCGGGAAGAGACAACAACTGTTCTGATTCGAAAGGCGTTGGAGGTGTTTTTTGGGTTACGCAGAAATATGGTATAGTTGTTCTTATTCGATATACCATCATGTATTCCCACGGCAATCATATAGGTCATCAAATTATCGATGAAACTTGTGTGCTGTGGCTGGAAATTAGGTCGGCCAGTAGACTGAAGCCGCTAGATAACACCCGTAATGGAATGGTCGTCTGTTGAGTATTGAGCAACCCATGGAGGTGTTTGTGTTGATGCAGGAGTGAATGTTTGTTTCTGATGTTTACAGGCAGGGAGAGTGGAGGAATTCGTATTCCCTAAACGGCGAGAATTCGGCATGCCGCCCTTTAGTCATACTTTATCAGTTTGGCGGCCAACTTCAATGAGGAAATGTTCATCGCATCTGTAAGATGAGTGTGATACAATGAGCGAGCCATCAAGCGCATATCCTAAGGGAATTTGAATATCAGAACAATTAGTAATGAGGCGAGTGAGATGAAATTGGAAGGAAGGAAGTATTCGGTGAGGTGCAAGTCTAGTCTAGACTCTAAGGTAGAGAAAGGTCCCTGAGTGGGCCCACCACCTAGGTAGCCCCGCCCCGGTCCTTGCCGCAAGCACCCCGCCAAAAAGCACAGCGGATTGCAACTGCCAAACAATCCCATGTTGAACACCTGGAAGGGCTGAGGTAAGGTACTTGCTGATCCCTAGGTAAGAGCCCCACCTAGGGCCACACACTGGTCCGAGCAGCCAATAGTGCAGCTTCTTTTGTCTGAGGTGACGCTAAAAAGTGGTCTCACAAACCTCCGACCTGGGCACCTGCCACCAGTGACTTCACTTTTCTCGGCTCCTGCTGGCTGCGCTTTGCAGAGAAACCCCGTGGACTGTCACCTCTCTGCTGGGATTTTTATTATTAATCCAATTCATTGCTTCAACAACCGCTTCAATATCCCGCTTCAACCGAATATCTCTTTGAGCCGATTGTTCACATTGTTTACTGCGCATAGTCAATAGTCAGGTACGCAAACAGCAAATAGTCCCCTCATCATGATGCATTATTGCTGACTCCCTTGCCAAGACGATTGTGCACCTTTTGACGATTGCTCAGTCGCCCGCGACTCGTTCTTTGATCGATTTTTTGCATCCGACCAAGCGCTCCTGCAGCCACGAAGCACAATTATCCAGCGAACCACTCATTGCTGTCAATAATCAATATTCGCTCAATTTTGGGACAGACTGCTGTCAAGCAAAATATATTACAGTCTCCCATTCCATTGCCCGAATCGTCCGACCCGATAGCCCACTGCCGAGCGACCGATGAATACCGAGCTCCTCCGACTCCCTCACTGAGCCTCGACAATCGACACCAAGTCCACCTAGCCAAGCTCACCCATGCTTGGTTAATCAACGGTCGAAATGAACAGAAGGGCACCTGCTTCTTCGGAAATGCCCTGCAAACGCCGGCGGATACGAGGACAGAGTGCCATGACTTCAGACCCTCCCCAGCTCACCTGGCCCATTGGCCGGGTCCCAGTCGAGATCTTTGACGAAATCACCACCTACCTTTCCCGGTCGGATGTTAAGAACCTCCGCTTGGTCAACCACGAGTTTGACAAGATGATCTCATCCAAATACTTCCGCAACGTCGTGGTTCCTTTCCGATCGGAGATGTACAAGGCGAGAAAGCAGAAGTACCTGGACGATGGAGGTCAAGGCCAGCCTCAACTTGGAAAGGACACCCTCTTCTCCAGTGGCATGCGCATTTTCCAGTCTTTCGGCGAGCACATTCTTCGATTTGCCTTGTCGCTCGAGCTGGACGAGGAGAGCCTCGCCTACCCTCCCATCAAGCCGACCCAGCAAGCCGTTACCTCGTACTGGGGTATCTACCGCTGGCCTCATGAGTCGTACAACCGGTATGCGGAACTTGAGGGGCTTGAGCAGACTGCCGACGAGACAGCGTCCATGACGGAGGCCTTGAAGTGCCTGGTTCAGGTTCAGGAACTTGGGCTGTGTTGCGATGCTGGACTCGGTTACCTTCTAGGACCCGACCAGCAGTTGGAGAGCCCTCCTCTGCCTCACCCGGTCTTTGGCCTTCGCAATCTACGATACCGAAACCTGCAGCGACGCCTGGCGCGAGCCGACTCAGACACTATGAATGCCCGAAAGCTCGCTTTTGAGAGTCCTCGAGATTTCAAGTACACCGTGCTGGAGGCCATGGTCATGAATGCCGGCTACACGCAGGAGCAGGCTAAGGACGCGATTGCTATACTCTTGAGCACCGAGAACGTGTCACTGACAAACATTGACTTTGACGAACGTACCGCCGCTGCCGCTGCCGCTGCCGCTCAGGCGGCTGCCCATGCAGCCCAGACCACCGCAGAGGCTCGCGCGGGCGTAGCTGCTCACGCCAACCAACACAACCTTGCCAACATCGCCCAACTCATCGCTCAGGGTCAACCTGCACCGTTCTTCAACGCTGCTGATTTTGATCCTCCCGATCATGATGACGAAATTGCTGAGGCGAGAGCGGCGGCCACTGTGCTTAATGAGCTCACGGCTGGCCATCCACTGCAGCCCAGGAATCTGACTAGAGCTCAGAAAGAAATGCTGCTGGAGCTGGAATGGGCCCACCGAGCTCTCATTCAATCTTACGTCCTCGCCCTCATCGACAACGCCCGGATGAATAGCTTCAATGTTCTGACGACCTTGACGATCGCCAAGATTCCAAGCAGCCACGTCTACATGTTCCAGAGGTCGGATTTCTGGCAGAGTCTGCCCAACCTGACCAACGTTGCCCTTGCTGTTGTAGCCGATTGGCGCCAGGTGTCTAAAGTTGCCCCTGGTTGCGTCGAGGACAACTTCGTCTCGCCCGTGGAGGCGGTGACTAAGGTCCAGCGTTTGATTCAGGATCACATCGCGGCACAAGTCAACATCAAATTCCTCCATTTCGAGTGGATTTGTGGTGGCGAGTTCGCACCCGGCATCACCCAACGAAATCAATACGTGCTTCCCGCTCCATTCTGCTCGCCGATGCAGATGGTTCATCCTGAAGGTGCCAAGTCGCCAGACGCCTTGCTCAAGCTACCGCACATCAGACACCTGTCACTCAAGAACTGCTACTCGGCGCCTCACATCTTTCTACAGGTTTTGCGAACAATGGGATTCCAGTCTCTGGAAAAGTTGGAACTCGAAAGTGTGTCTCTCACGGGCGCGCCCGCGAGAAACCCCGGCGCCGAGAATGCGTTTGGACCTGCACTCGTTATTGGCCCGGCTCATGGTCCAGGCATTGTACTTCACGGACATGGCCAGACTCAAGGTGCGCAAGCCGCGGGTCCGAATCAAGCGCCTCCGTTGCCGCCGACACCTCTCCAACCGCAAGCCAACCCGGGCTTCGGGGGTGCGCCAGGGGTTCCAGCCGGAATGGTGGTCCCTCAGGGCCCGCTACATGCTCCTGGCATCCTGCCGGCACATCTTGCTGAAATTATGATGCAGCAACCTCTTCCGCAAATCGCCAATGTGGCGAACAACGCGGCGCCGCCTCCCCCTCCACCCGATCCGATGGCCGGCTGGGGTAGAATGCGACCAAGACAGCCACGACTACTGTCTTGGGCTGGCATCATTGAACGTCTCGCACCGACTCCACCGATTCAAGAGATCATGGTCGGTCAAGGTACCGAAGATGACGAAGAGGATTGGGTGGAAGACTTTGTACGGAAGGACGACGGATTCTCGCTCCTGCCCCAGCCACACAGTCTCGTCAAAAAGAAAGAGTTGCTCAGTATTCACCACATCTCCCTCAAGTCCTGCGGCTACGTGGTCCTGGACATTCCGATGGTTGACAATCATAGCATCATGCCAACCACCTCCCCTTGGCAAGAGCCTGCGGAAGTGACTGCGCGTCGGCGGGAGCTCATGCCCTTCATGCAGTCCTGCGGCGACAGGCTGGCGGCTAAGATCACCAATTATCTCAGCAACCAGGAGCACTTTAACCTCTCGACCGCCTTTGGTATGGACACGGAGTGGACTGGTGTGTACGATGAGGAGGTTATTGAAGCTGCGAAGAGGGACGGTATCGTTCATCCTGGAAGAGGACGAATCACGGGTATGATTACCAAGATGGCTGAACAGGCTTGAGCTGCACCGCTTGATTACGATGAAAACTGTATAACGAACAATTTGGGATTTGGGTGGGCGGCAGGAGTCTTTGATTTTTCGGCGTTTTTGGCAAAAGATACCACGGGCTCAAAATTGGGACGGAAAGAGGGGCGGGATAATGACTGGATGAGGGACCCATAACTCCGTAGTCACCTTATAGTAGGAAGACAACAAATGTTCATAACGCAATCATTGTCATCCTTGCCTTGGAGGCCAAGCTGAATCGCCTCTCTTGAATTGCAGTTGACAAGGATGGGAGTGTTCTACAGACGATCGGAGGGAGCGGTATGTCAAGACCCGGGTAACTGAGACTCAGGCAGCGTACCTTAGTACTCCATACTCAATATAGGGGACGACTTGGGGTGATTTGATATAAAAGCAGGCCAAAATTAAATGCATTTCCTCGTAACCGTTTGACGCCGATTGCCGATCATGATAAACTAGGGATCGCCTTGGGGGGGAATCATTGTTGCATGTTTGTTTATTGGTGGCCCATGCAGACCGTTGCGCGTGTGAATTCGCATGCCAATCCCTAAATGCCATGAGACCATAGCCTTCCTGTACACCAGCATATGAAAAGCCGCAAAGTTCTTTTTTGTATTTGAATCCACGCATCCATCCACGACCCAAAGACCAAATCCATCCCATGGGGGGGTGTGGTGTACCGCGTTTGTCCACACTTCGCGCCGACCCTTTTTGCCTCACGTCATGAACCGCACACACGCCACAAAAATCGAAGATCCATTCTTAAAAGATTAAAGAGTTGGGAGATTCGCTTATGCGGCGGTGATGGCCTGGCGGGTGCGGGCACCGCGCTGGCGGGAGTTGAGGCGGACGTCCTCGCGACCGGCGACGGCCTCGGACTTCTGGACAACCTCCTCGCCCTCGGTGAGGATGAGCTCGATGTGGCAGGGGTTGGACATGTAGGGGTTAATCTGTGGTATGTGTTAGTTCGTCCACGTTCTACTACTGGTCTCTGTCGTTCTCTTTCTTCTAAGAGAAAAGACTCGGGTGGTAAACATACGCGACCGTGGGCACGGTATGTGCGTCTCCGTTGCTTGGGGGCCTGGTTGACCTGGATGTGCTTGACGACGAGGTTGCCGGTGTCGAGGCCCTTGGCGTCGGCGTTGGACTCGGCGTTCTTGAGGAGGCCGAGAAGGAACTCGGCGGACTTGACGGGCCAGCGGGCCTTGGTGACGCCGAAGGCCTTGCCCTGGGCGGTGCGGCCGATGGAGCCGGCGTAGCGGCGGAAGGGGACGGCCTCCTTCTTCTCGGAGACGTTCTCGAGGAAGGTGACGGCGCGCTGGAGCTTCCAGCCGTTGATGGCCTGGGCGGTCTCACGGGTGTTCTTGAAGGACACACGGAGGTAGGCACCGCGCGCGCGGGCCGACTTCGCGGGGGCGATCTCTTGAGCGGCGTAGCGAACCTGAAATATGACGATGAGGGTCAGTCTTTTGGGTTCTGGGATATAACGAGCATGCATGTCCCCATGTGTTCCCGCATGTTCCTCATTCCTCCTCTTGGTCGACCATCATGAGTGACATAATTGAGTCACAAGTCCAGTTTTTTTTTCTTCCTTTGACATCGTGAAATTTCGACCCTCTTTCGACGAGGGGCAAGGGAATCGTCTCGGCGGCTGCAAAAGGGTCGAAATTTCGTCGATTACACTAATTTCCTCCTCTTCTCGTCGAGGCGGAACACAGGGAAAGCGAGCGGCGGTGCGACTTACCATCTTGATCGTTGGGTGTGGTGATGGTTTCGGTGGTCGGTCGGTGGTCGGTCGTGGGCTGGCTGTCAGAGTGAGGTTAGAAGAAATTCACAACTTTCGTTGACCCTAGCCCTCCTGCGCCGGGTTGGCTCGCTTGCGGATCGGGAAACGGCAGGGGGGTCGGCCTTAGGGTTCCGCAACCCTATGGGGTAAATGGATGATTTCTTCCACCTTTGGCCGGAGGAGAAATCGCATGGAAAAAAAAAAAAAAAAGGATGAGACTCACGATGCGTCTGATGAACTGATGAACAGCCTGAGACCTTTTTGGAACTTTTTGGAATGAGATTGCGGCTTGGGAAGTTGGGACAAATGGAAAGGATGATATTTTGAGGTGTTCTTCAATTCCGTTGCAAGCCAGGTACTGGACACCACCACCTGAGGTGGTTTCTGACGCTCCTGCCTTTCCCTGAACATGAGACCCACCTCTCAGGTGGACCCCGTGTCCCTCCTTATCTAATCGCGAAAAGAAAAAAAAAACTTGCCGGAAGGCGGCTCCTTTGAAATTCCGCATTGTCCAATCACCTTGATGACCCCACAATCTTTCTGTCAGTCTGGCCCGTGCGTACTCTTGAAGCTCTCAGAAAAAAAGTCCGACGAAAAATTTCAAACACCCAGCCCAGTATCCAGTTGTCCCAACCCGCCACCAAGAGGATTAGCATTATCTGCGCCTCTCACCCCCAATTCGACTCTACTTTCGCAACTTGGGAACTGCCAGTCTTGTTCTCTTTCTTCTTGCAACAACTAGTCTTTTCCGACTACCCGACACACATTTAAAAGACAATGGCTCCCTTCACTCCTCGTGGCGGCGGTGGTCGCGGCGGCGGTCGCGGTGGTTTCGGCGGCGGACGTGGTGGTGGTGACCGCGGTGGCTTCGGCGGCCGTGGTGGTGGCCGTGGAGGTTTCGGTGGTGACCGTGGCCGCGGCGGCTTCGGTGGACGTGGTGGTGGTCGTGGTAAGTTCTTGAGAGAGAAACTGCTTTTCGCGATGTCGACTGCGGAAGATTGAATGTGCTAACATGATCCTGTAGGCGGTGGTCGCGGTGGTCCTGGTGGTGCTCGTGGCCGTGGAGGTGTCTCCAAGGGCGGCAGAGGCGGCCGCGGTGGTGCTGCTGGCGGTCAGAAGGGAGGTCAGAAGGTCATCGTGGTATGTCACAACTCAGGCTTCTTCTTCTTCTCGTGGTGAAGATTTGTCCATTAACAAAAGATCGCAGGAGCCCCACCGTCACGAGGGTGTCTTCGTTGTCCGTGGCAAGGAGGACGCCATCGCAACCCGCAATATTGTCCCCGGCGAGTCTGTCTACGGCGAGAAGCGCGTCTCTGTCGACAACCAAACCCAGAACGAGGACGGCACCACCACAACCACCAAGATCGAGTACCGCGTGTGGAACCCCTTCCGCTCCAAGTTGGCCGCCGCCGTCATCGGTGGTCTTGAGAAGCTCTACTTCGGCCCCGGCTCCAAGGTCCTCTACCTCGGTGGTGCCTCCGGTACCTCAGTCTCCCACGTCGCCGATATTGTCGGCCCTACCGGCTTCGTCTACGCTGTCGAGTTCTCCCCCCGTTCCGGCCGTGATCTGATCGGCATGGCCGCCAAGCGCACCAACGTCGTCCCCATTGTCGAGGACGCCCGTCAACCCCTCAAGTACCGCATGCTCATGCCCATGGTCGACTGCATCTTCGCCGATGTTGCCCAGCCCGACCAGGCCCGTATTGTCGCCATGAACGCCCACCAGTTCCTCAAGGTCGGCGGTGGTATCCTCATCTCTATCAAGGCCAACTGTATCGACAGTACCGCCCCCGCTCACAAGGTCTTCGCCATGGAGGTCGAGAAGCTGAGAGCAGAGCGCATCACTCCCAAGGAGCAGCTTACGCTAGGTTGGTGACCCCCTCTTTCTCCTGGAAGTGAAACCTCCCATGACTAACACACTATCACAGAGCCCTTCGAGCGTGATCACTGCCTCGTCGCTGCCGAGTACTCGCGCTACGCGAAATAAATGTGAAAAAGAAAAGGGAGAAAAAAGTATTGTATGCGTTGCGTAAAGAAGAGTGGTGGGTGAGCGGTTGAATCTGTACATTTGCGAGATTCCCACGAGATTTGACTTTTGCTTCAATGGGTACGGTCGGTCGGACTTCATCTGGACAGGCGTTAGGAATTTAGGACTGGTCTAGTTCAAAACTTGCATGTTAACCCATATAGGTATTCAAAAAGTCCCTCGCGGTGAAAATGACATGTTTAATGGGCTTATAGACTTGAATAGGAGTAGTAGTTCGTTGCGCTTTTTGCTGTCTCATATTCTTTTCCTTCGGAGCAAGTGACTCTAGTAGTGACTGACATCCGTTTTGATGCGCTACCGCTCCCACTCTGTCTGGCTCTGATTGCCTTCGTCATTAGATTCGTCAATAAAAGCTCCCGAAACCCCTTATTCCCAACGTATACATCTAGACTTCATGCAGCCCAGCCCCCGCTTCACTCAATCACATCCACAAGACTTAAACCAAGTACCGGCGCCCCACACATCGCCGACCCATCCTCTGTCTGATCGGCCCACGACACTAATTCCGATGAGAGCTGCGCCGTCGACCAGTCCTCCATTTGCTGCTGCTGCTCCTGCCCACCCCCGATTCTCCACCGATCCTCGTAGCAGTCGTACTCCACGAGGTCGCGGGCAATGTACACGACCCGCTCCTGCTCGGGCTGCCAGTCCATCGGCTCAGCCGGCCCGCCCACGCCGACGCTACGGGCCCACGACTCGACCGACGAGCGTTGCTCGTCCAGGAGGGACAGGATGTGGTTGCGGAAGCGATAGTTGTCGACGACGAGGTCGTTGTCCTGTTGCCGCTGATGTATCTCGTGTCTGGCATCGTCTGTGATGCTGCGGCGACGTTTCGAGGCTCTTTTGATCACCGGCTCGAGCTCGAGCTCGGCCTTTGGCTTTCGGCGCCGGCGCCTCACAATATCCAAATAGCCGCCATCGTCGTTATTCTTTCGGTGATCTTGGTCATGGCCCGGTGCTCTTGCAGTCCTGAGGACGAGGGCTGTCGAGGGTGACCCTGGTGGCATAGGGATCATCTTCAGATCGCCATCCGTGTCCGACTTGGCTTCGACTTGGCGGCTGTGCCGGTGACGTTTGGGGGAACGGGGAGGGGGAGGATGTTCGTACAACGACCGATGTCTTCCTGTTGCATGGTATTCGACGTCTTTTCGAGGAGGGTATCGACGGGTCTTGATGGTAGGGAGACCTTCTGTGAGACTCAGGTCCGGCTCTGGGCTTGCGTGCCTGCGTTTGGACGCGCGTTTCGACATCCTGTGTCCTCGTGACATCGTGTCGTTCCTCATGTAGAGGTCAGATCTCTTGAAGAGGGGCGTAGCGAGGATATCAATATGCGTGATTATCCGCCATCTGAGAGAGTTCAAGATCAAGATTGCTCAGACTCTGCATACTTGGAAATGATGAGATTCAGCTGAGGCTATCCGTTGATGAAGTCTTCTCATTTTTATCTTCGTTGCACCTAAGAAGCTTGCTCGCGCAACTTCTGGCCTTCGACATTTGTGAAGTTTCAACAAAGCTGGAACAGCCCAGATCTTATTCTCCATCGACAGAAGGGTAAGTTTCTAGAAGCCAACAAGCAAAGACTCCCTGGATATGACGAACAATGTGCTAGAAGGTATCCATAGAGGCCAGCCTCGTTCAACCTCGAAACTGAACAATGAAACAATGTCAGGCCTCACAAAGATCTAATAGTGATGAGTTGAGGCTCTTCTCCCATTGTGACTTCTCGGGATGACATGTCGTTTCTACCCCCTTCCAGCAAAATGCTTCAAAGAAGCGGTATCCTGCCGCTTCGATGGCCGTGGATGAGACATGGGATAAAGCCTACTTCAGCATTTCGAATCGCCAAAGCCGAAAATCCGAGCAGCTATCGCGTTCTAATGAAGCCTGACGGACGTCGCTCGACCTTAGGTTCAGATGAAAGCTGTAAATTGACAATATTAGTAAAAGAATGATCGGCTGTACTGTCTACTTCGTAACTCAATTGCGAGCTTACCGAACTTACTCTACTGCATACTCAAAATCAGTAGAGCAGTTTGATTTTGGCAAGCTATCTCCTGTTCGGCCTTCCATCGACAAAAAGATTATTCATGAAATTGGACAACGATCGCAATACTACGACTGAAGCATGCTTGGGACCATCACGGCGCCATTGCCCCGGCCATACTGAACCAGGCTTAGATTCACCGAAAGAATGGCCGAACTTCTTTCAGCGTCAGGGTTCACTGAGAAGTCGGCCAGCGGGCGGTCTAGACTCCTGGTAACCCAGATAGTGCTAGGGGAGAGAGTGTAGGTCAACGGTCAACCGACCGACGACGAGTATGTCTCGTAATTTGGACTGCTTGTTTGACCTCGGCGATTGACAACTTCAGACGTCGACTGAAGTAGTCCGCCTCATCCTTTTACCCAGAACAGTCCAAACAACCGAGCCGTGCCTCTCTACCCTGACCACATATCAGTGGTACCTTTTCGAACGCCAAGTTGCGTTACCCTGACAGCTGGGTGTTACGGGACGACAAGCCGAAGAGACTTACGAAGAACATGCCTGGTCACAAGAGAATGTTGGAAGCCTCGGACTCGCCTTGATCAAAGACACCTGGGAAGTAGATGCTCTTCGCCGCAATGTGAAATGTGACAACATCCCCTCCCCGCGGGGTTCTCTCGGCTTCCTTTGGATCCCTTCAACCAGGCCCTTGCTACCTCTAGCCTCCTTCAGTAACTAACCATGGTCTTCCTGTCTGTCCCGCGTGGTTGGATCAGACAGAGGGGACCATCGAATTCTAAACCCCCCCAGAGAAATATAACCGATTCAGCTTGCATCCGTCAAAGCGTTTCGGAGGACTTGTTCAAATTTCGCGAAAGTCGCCGTGGTGGCGTACACATCCCTGATAGAAGCCATCGCCCTCCTTTCCCGAGAATAATCGTTCGGATCTATGTATTACCCCAGACGCTAGCGCTGTCAAGAAAGCGGCACGTTGATTAGAGCAACCCCCCAATGAGGCAGTTGGCTCGTGTGTGTCCGCGTTCTCTTGCGATGACTGGATTACAAGACCAGGGACTGCACAGAAGAAAGTTGAGCAACGGGGCCTTCAGTTGCCGATATCTGTTTCCTATCACCAAAGTGGCTCTGAAGGTCGCTCTAAAACTTGGGCGACGCTTTCCCTGGGCCGAGAATCAAGATACTGAACGATGGCTTTTTTTTTTTTTTTTCGCTCTTCATCACCTTTGTCTGGGTTTGGAGTGATTTGTGAACAAAGATACGAAGGCGGCTGCAACGAGCGAAGAACCTGGATGCGTATACCTTGGGATGAATCACGACCTTGAGGATTTACCATCCAGACCTCGTTCAGCCGCTCCCTCCCATCTCCGCGTCTCTCTTTCCTCAGCCTACTTCACCAAGTGGGGCCAGGGTATATACCCCCCTCTCGATCCCATTCCCATCACCAGCACAGCAGCGCCCGTCTAGGTCAGCGAGGTTAGGTCAACCTATGTGCGAGGTGGTTGAATGGTCAAACAAACAAATACTCCCATGAAGTCAGAGTCCGGGTTGACTGAGGGGCGTGCTGTTCGAGTCCGGGCAGGGGCGTGGATTACAAGGCCAGTATACCCCTTCCTTCCTTTTGTTTATTATTTTTGTATAATGTCCAGACCATCAGACCAGGAAAACACCAGACCAGGCGAAGCCAGCGGCAACGAGATCAGACAAAGTCGTCACCACCCAGCAGGGAGGACTACATCAGAGTGCGTAAGGTACCTGCTCGATTTTCATTGCTCAAAAGGGTGTCGACACCACCGCCTTGGCCGAGTCGACAGGGGAAAGTTCTCCTATGCGGCGTTGTGGCGGCTCATGTTAATTCTGGCAGGAACGCACAGACGAGAACCCCGAATGGATGGCCACGTTCAGCTCCTTCTGATCACGCATATTGCGCATGAAGGGCAGATCCTTGAAGCAGGCAAGTCTGGGGTGGGAGAATGTCGACATTTCGTGACTAGTGTGGTCTGGAACTGCTTTGAATACCTGTAGACTGTACGGATAAGTGAGGGGTTCTGATATAGGCATTAGTGAAGAAACTTCGGATAGGGCTCTCTCTCATTGTTGCCAACGCGCTAGGCTTCTTTGTGTTTCTCCGCAATCTGCCCACCTTTACTTTGTCGAGTCATCCAGATCCATAGATCCATCGCCGTGGAGCAGAGGGTCATCGACCAACAATATGTTAGAGTTCGACCACATAGTACCTACCCACGAGAAGCCAAGACGAAAGACCTGGCCGTGGAACCTCTAGGCATTTGGGGAGAAGGGCCACTCCCGAGGCTATGGTCAGCCGGGAAAATGCGCTCAAGTCCGTCCAAGGTAACAGTCTTGGAGCGCTGCGATCGATGAAACACAATTTGACCCCCCTTCAGAGGCAATGGACCGCAGGCACCAAGACCTCGGATCTGTTGGAGGCAAAGGTAACATGGTTCGATACCGTCAGTGGCAATCAGCCTCGGGTGCCTCTCTTACACAGATTCCTTGCAAAGCTCTTTCACCGGTGGAACATAAGAAAATGGACAATCGAGGTTAAGATGCGCCGCGGCAAAAGGTTTGGCACCGAGGGTCGAGGCTGTCGAACGACAACGAAGAGCTCAAAGAAACATAAAGTAGGTGACCAGAACGCGGAGGCGCGGCATAAGCCGGTAAATTAAGCTGATGAATGAAGACCAGCTTGGGCTAGGCCCTATGGACGGGACCCGCGTGTTGGCTTTGCCATGGTTGGGCTCTTGGAAGGCCGGCGTGTTTGACTTGAAAAGCTTGGTGGTCGCCGATTCCCAGGAGAGATACCTACGTACGGATACCTACCTTAGTACGGATATCTGTGCGGTACGTACCGATGGCCGGAAGAGAACCCCACTTTCCCCGCTTGGAAAAGGCAGGAACAGGCACCTGGGTCCTGGGGGAAGAATGAGTGGTGCAGTGTTGGGGTAAATGTGGGTAAATTCCCCATCTTCAATGTCACCCATCGTGCCTTCCCAAGTTCGTTGTCACCACCAGAAACCTCCTGGCCAGTGCCTCCTTCTCTTTGGCTCCTGGCCTCCTATTCGTAGGTACCTTAGCCTCCTGCTTCTTCGCCCCGGTCGACCGCACCCAACCAAGTTCATCTTGGAGCATGCAATGCAGCACTGCAGATTCACGAGTTTCCTCCCCCAGACTTTGCCATCTTTATGCATTTTAACCCTTCTAGGCCTCTAGGCCTCCCATCCTCCGGGCTTTGGCAGGCCTGGTAACTAATCAGCGTTCATTCAGAACCTCCAACAGACACCTCGGTACGGCCGTACTATCCCGTCTAGGTCTTCAAACGACGGCACAGCTTGTGCCTAATTGTAAGGTGGCTGTCTGAAACTGGGGTCGGTCAAACTCGATGTAAGCTACATCGCCGAGGTCTAGCTAGGAAACCCATCACCTCGTGGTTTCGTCCAGTCCAACAGTTCATTCCAATAGCCATCTTCCACAGATTTGTCTCTGGCGTGTGGCGTGGCACCGAGCAGGCGGAACCACGAATTTGCAGACGGCGCGGCGCTGGAAAGTCTCGCTCCGTCCTATCTCAAACCCATAGGAGACCACACTCCAGAGTCCAGACGACATCACGCCGCCGTCGACTTCGTCTCGGTTTTAATTCCATCCCACGAGCACCCGTTCACCATCAGCTCCGAGACATTGTCGATCGTGGCGCTTTCCACGTGGGTGAAGCTTGCGCCGTGCCGCCAGCCGGTCTGAGAGATGTTGGGACAAAGCAGTACCCAGCAAAATCGATGGTATTTCGAGTCATTGTGGCTCGCCGTCAAGCTATTTCCATCCTAATGATGAATGCTTTGAAAGGCCCAGCGCGAACCACCAACTGCACACTGAACGTTGCGTCCCGAAACGGGAAGGCTTCCTATCTCGAGGGGTCAGAGATCAGTCTTTGTTCATACCTGATTCACTATGGCTGTGTCACTAGCACATCGGATGATACGGTGAAAGCAACGTGGACGTCAATCTTCACTAGCTGCCGCCCGCCCTCTACGCATACAGCGTGGCAATGCTCTATTAGATTGGATGGTGCTGTACGGAACTCTGCAGCAGAACGTCAGCACCCAGGGCCCGTTTCCATCAGCACCATCACAGAGTTGCAGAATGAGACCCTCATGCGGCTTAAGCATTTCGTTGAAAGCAAGGCCAACTAGCCGTACAGTCTACGGAAAACTCACAATTTCCTCGAGTCGTGATCCCGATGATTTTATCGCAACTACCCTGCTAGCCTTGATGGGGTCAGCAAACACGAGCTCCCTTTGGTCCAACGACGACACATCCAAATTACAGCCCTCGATCCCTGGTTTGTGGTGGCTTGACAAGGGTTTCACTAGGAGGATAGAAGTCGAGAGAGGCATCGGTGGCGGCAGGCCAGGAGGCGCCTGAATGCCAGACAGTTTGGGGTTTGGAACCGTGGTACCCTTCCGCTGACCATCCCGCCGCCTTGACCATGGTTTGCACGTCCAAGCTCTCTGAGAAAACGTAATATTTCCGCCTGAAGTACATGGCTGACTTGGGTAGGATGAATAGCTCCCATCGCAATGCCTGCTCAGGGGTACCCGATCACCATGAGGAGGCCACGCGGTGAGGGAGGATGGTGACGGCCATCACTCAGGGAGTTCAGAAATTGATGGCAATTTTGTTCAATGAATACGGGCACTGCAGAATACCAACGGATATGCAGCTGGACAACTCACCCATCCAACGAAGAACTTTGGCCCAGGGCCAGGGGAGCCTTGCAACGGCGCTGCTAGAGGGAATTGACCAGGGTCCCCTGGCGTCCCCAGGTTCGTCCGACCCCGCGCCAAGCTGGTTCCAGTGGGCCCGGATGCGGCGAGCTAAGTCCTTCACTTGGCCTGTTCCAGCTTCGACAACATCCTTCCTCCTAACCCCCTTAGTGCTCTCTCACTTCACTTCACGCGGACATGACAACCACACCAAATCTCCAGCAATTGCCAGGTATCTCTAGCGTCTTCTATCCCGTGGTTCTCTGCCCAAAGAGGGTGTCCAGGAGAGTGCTCACGTACTTACACGCCCCGTCCCAACATGGAACATGGTCTCGACAGCATCCTGGCCAATCCGGCCCTACACAGCCCCTGCTATACGCCATGCGAAGGCCCAGGGCCTGCGGCGCCCCGACGAGTTGATGACTGGCTCCTTTCCTCTTTTCTTACATTTTACCGTCGTTGCCATCATCTTTAATCCCGTCTTCTACGCCTTTTGCGGACCATGTTGGTTCTCGTTTCTCGACAATTCCGTTCCTGGATTCTGGCTCAGCACATCCGCTTGTGCTCTCCTGCAGACCATCCTGGTCAGGAGTTTGCATAGAATCTTGATAGGAAGTTGACATATTGGATCGTCCCTATTGGGTTGGGCAACACCTTCACAACCCGTTGCTCGTCGGAGCTGTCACCACTTTCGTTGGCCGGGACCATTTAGTAACGGAAGTCAGCGTACTTGAAGGTTTCGCCGTCCATCATTTCAGGAAACCGATTTGCAACATTTCGAGGAATGCCCACGACCAAAGCCGGCAATAATCACTACCACTTGTTCACATCATCACTGGTTGCCATCAAAGCAGACACCATTCCGACGTTGTTTGGTATCGTATAAAACAACCCGGCCACACGAAGGGCCTCTGCCGGTTCCGAATAATACCATCGACACTATGGACACACCCGAAGAGAAGGCCAACTTGGACAAAGGAGATCTCGATCTTCTCAGTATCATAGAACGGACCTGCTCGGTCTTCTCGCTGCTGGGATGTGTCTTCATCATTGTCACATTTTGCTCGTCTAGAGCTTTTCACAAGCCCATCAATCGGCTTGTATTCTTCGCTTCCTTTGGAAACATGATGACGAACGTTGGCACGCTCATGGCGAGGTCCTACATTGGTTCTCCGGACTCGCCGGGCTGCCAGCTTCAGGCGTTCTTGGTTCAAATGTTGGTACATGGACTCCACAAGTAGCCCGCGACTAACAAATTGCAGGTTCATGCCGGCTGATGCGTTTTGGACACTAACTATGGCCATCAACGTCTACTTGACTTTCTACTACAAGTTCGACGCCGAAAGGTTACGGAGAATGGAGATACCATATCTCGTTTGCTGTTATGGAATTCCCTTCATCCCAGCCCTGGTCTATGTCTTTGTCAGGAACGGCGATGGATTGAGGGTCTACGGCAACGCAACATTATGGTGCTGGGTTAGACCTGAGTGGGAGATCTGGCGCATCCTCACATTCTATGGACCCGTTTGGTAGGTTTACCTCTCGCCTCAATTGGGTCTTGCTAACTATCCAGGATTGCAATCTTGATCACTTTCTTCATCTACATCCGCGCGGGCCGAGAAATTTACCAAAAGCGAAAGCAGCTTCACAATTTTAGCTCCTCGGACCACGACCAAATGAACTCGTTCCACGACGTTCTGACCTCGATGAAGACGACTGAAGTTTACGTCACCTCGGAAGCGATGGACCAGCCCCAAGGTTCTATTGGTCTTGCCACAGTGGGAAGACGTGGCTCGGAAGCCGGACCAGTCCCACGACTACCCAACGCTGCTTACTCTGTCAGCATTTCCGCCAATCGCTATAGCCGCAATGAATCACAAGCCGAAGCTGCTGTCCCGCCTGCCGAAAGTAGCACAGCGGACGCCTCCGCCCAGCGCCCGATGAACTCTGCTCGTCGACGCAACTACGAGCTCAACAATGCGGCTTGGTCTTACACAAAATGTTCTATTCTCTTCTTCACAGTCATCTTAATCACCTGGGTCCCGTCGAGCGCCAACCGTGTCTACTCGGTAATCCACACCAGGGAGTCTTCAACACCGCTAGAGTTTATGAGTGCCTTTGTTCTCCCGCTTCAGGGCTTCTGGAATGCGCTTATCTACGTGGTGACTTCATGGAAGGCTTGCAAGACACTGTGGACTGATATCAAATATGCGTCTCGGCGGCCAGATGTGACGGAAATTGTGGGCAGTTTCAGGCACAGCGACCAGTTCAAGATCCCGAGCCAGAACCGCAGGACAAAGAACTACGAGAGTGAAAGCATAACGGAGCTTACGAATAGTCGACCGGCTTCGAATGAGCAGGCATCGCGGTCGTAGTGTATGGAGAAGATGCGCACTTGTCACGATAGCGAAACGATTTCTTGTGGATGATACCCCGAAGCCATGCTGTTGTTTTGGGAGGCCCTGCCGCGGACGCAGGTTTCAATTTGTTGCTTTTGGGGGGTATTCGTTGCGTTGGCATGCCCCAGCTGGACATTTATAACGGTCTTGTCTGTAAAACTTCTTTGTTGTAGATAACACATCATTTATTGCTCATTTGTCACTCTGCAAAACGCCAACATCTTTGCCTTGTGAAATCTGCTTGATCTAGCATCTCTTGGCGGCCTCGTTGCATCCAGCGAATGTATTTTGCCCACAACGCCATTACAAGACGCCGTTGGGACTGGCGCTTACGACAGCCAGACGGACTAACTCGAGAGGAGAGGAAAGCGCGCGCATTCAGCTTCCCACGTGCCATCCCAAAGACTAAGATGGGTTCCTGCATTTTCCCAACGGCGCGCTCCTCCTCGGGTAGTCTAAGTCTGCACTTGGTTTTTCGTCTCGTCTGGTCTCGCCCGGTCTCGTCTCGGGGCACTACGCGCGCGCAGGAGCCGTGCCGTGTAAGCAGAGCACGTCCATATATAGGATGTTGCGGTATTGCGGGTAGTGCTTGGACTCTTCTTCTCTTTCTAATTGCAGAGAATGTAATGATCTACACTCCCAACGGTCCGTGAGCTCAGAAATCGTTTCAAACGCACGTTTCTCGGGGCGGTGCGTGTTCTGCGAAGACAGCTGCGCGAGCACAGCAGAGCACAAACAACTCGTGGTCCCTTCCCAGGGTGCCAGGCTCCCGGCACCTCACGTTTGCCATTTGGCTACACAGACGGCTACAGGGACGCGGGGGTTGTCTGTTACTTTTTCTTTTCTCTCTTCCTATCTTCCTTCGCTCCCCTCCGTTTCTTTCGCCTCTTCAGTGACGGGCTTTGTGTTACAGCCTCGTATGGAATTGCCGTCGGTGTTTCTGTGGCTGGCTGGCTGACTTGTCTCAGGGCCACTCCTCCAACAGGTATGGTGTATGCTGGGAATCCAGTTTAGTCAGGACTGACGAAATTTGCTCAGCCCGTTTCTTTGAGTTTGACTGTGCTTGTCGCCGATGAAGATTTCGGTCAATCGCAACTCATGAGAAAGAGAGAGAAAGAGAATTACGGATACACCACCCCCCTAATTCTCTATGACGTGGTCTGGGTCAGACTTGGGGGTTGCAGAGAAGATGGAGCAAATTGCCCGAGTACCATTCCATTCTATTCCTACGCAAACCCACTTTCCCAGCCCAGTGGGTTCCTAGAGAGAAAAAAAGGTCCCCAATTGGCAATCCCATAAAGCCAAGTTGGAGGGGAACCTTGGCGGTGCCCATGCAGGGGGCATACAGGGGTCTTCGTTACTGTATGTACTTTTGAAGTTGACCTGATTGACAATCGTGCACCTCGTTTACAGATAATGGCTGCGGGAATAACAGAGAACGATGGGAGAGCGTGGGGGAAGTTGGGTACCTGGAGACTTGGCGATGCTTTCTCGGGCGGAATTTGCTGCCCCGAATCTTGGCTTCGATGCAGGGAAAACTCTCAAGCTTTTGGTGCTATTCTGTTGCATATCTGCCCTGGTTTGTTTGCCTGCATCAGAGGCGATGTTGGTTCTTGGAGTGTTTAGCTTGGCGGGTTGCTTCATCTTACCCATTAGCGATATTCTCGCCAACACACTTTGCAAGTGACTGTTCTCGCTATTGGAGCCCCTCCTTCGCCTGCCCTCCTCTTCTCTTCTCTGATGGCTTGACAGGCTTTTCAACCCTTGTCGCCCTATCCGTACACCTTCAACATCACACTATTACTCTATACGTACATAATAGACATTACGAGCTCAGGACGGTTCCTGGTCCGTGGAGGACCATCAAGACAATGACAATGGCACCACGAACCATACCCAATTTACCAAACAACAAGAAATGCCGCGGTCGAAGATCTGATCCCCGTCGAGAAACGGGACTATTGAATCCATTATCTAGTGTAAGAAGTCGCATGCAAGGCCATGCAGGCATGTAGACAGTAGCACTGTAGCAGTCAAAATTCCCCGAGTCCCGACGAAGCAACATTTATTTGATGGGTACCACGGCACTTGCTCTCTTGAATGGTGAACCCTCCCGACGATCCCGTTTCATCTGCCGTCACGGTTGCTTTCTGGGCTCTGGATCACCCGATTTCGAGATGCATGTCTAAGCTGCGGTGAGACGGACGCAGCTTTTTGCGTGGCTGCTTTTTTCTTCCCGCGCGCGCTGGTTTGAGGCCGAGTATCCGGGAATAAGTGAACCCCCGCGCGCTTTTGTTCATCACGATGACTTATGTGGGCACGTAGGACGATGGTGCCCTTGCATCCACCTGTGGCCCGTCATATGGCCGTACCGTGTTTGGCATCGATCATTTCTTCTTTTTTCGTCGATGACGATGTGACTCAAGCATTCAACAATTCAATGGGGCTCCAGACCGAGACATCCACTAAGATAAAGCAATGACGGTTCCTCACGGCCCGAAATAATATGTACGAAGGTGCATGCCCTGCAGCATCGATACAACGAGAGCATCGCGCGGCTGCGGACCATTCATGACAATCACAAGAGTAACATCCCCCCCCCCCCCCCAGATTTCAGAGACAACCTAGTAGTGGCGGGATGAATCCCGTCTCCTGAGTCCCGAGGCAAAACGTCAGCTACACTCACATGCCGTACACATTCTGCCCAGTCGAGATCAAATCAGTCCACCTTTGCCGCCGACTTATCGCAGTCTCCGACTCATCTCAACGGCGACCAACTTATGAGATCTAGGGCGTTCTTCAACGGCAGTGGCTGCTCCTAGCAAGCCCTGCTTTTTGAGACTTTCTTACTAGAGGGACGTCAAAGCGCAAGAAAGGATTCGGGGGCGGAACATGCGTAGGTGCCTTTTCCCCCATCTCTGTGGTTGTGGGTAATTGTATTGGCTTGGTGCGGTACGATACTGCAGGTACGGTACTACAACGGGGAAGCGGGCTGTACGCTTGTCTTCTCGTAGGTAAAATGAGGCTCTCCTACTGTTTTGAAGTGAGTTTATGAGTGTAATGGCAGTGAGGCTGAAGTAGAGGAAGGTACAGAAACCCCCGAACCAATCCTCTTGCTCTTGTCTCGGTCTCTCTGGTCTTACACTGCGCTCTACTATTCATTTTCCGTCTAGGAACTGAGGTGTAGGTCAATTGGCTTTCATCTATTCCATCTAAGTCTTCGACGTGATATAGTCTTTGCGGGAGGAAACAACAAGCTGGAGAACTCGATGGCCTTGTTTATTGAGTCCTGTGAAGGAGATAGATATCATCACCTTCGTTTTCAAAACCACTCCATGTGGATGTAGAGGTGTACCTGCCCTCAGTGACACCATGTGCCGCGAAAAGTAACTCAATGATGGCAAACCGCTCCAACCCGTAAAGGTTGACAAACGTTGCTGCTCACGATGAGCAAGACGGAACCTTGAGGAGATGCGAACTTTTCCTTGAATATCAAACAGATGCTCTCACCCTGGCACATACACATTGTATCTAGAGAAAACCCACCAGACAACAGCAACTCCCTCTTCCACCAACATCATCTACAACAGAGCATCATTCTAATCCGTCTTCACTCCACCTCAACACCGCCAATGTCGACCCTCTTCCAAGCTACACATCCATAAGTTCCCCTCCAAGATGCCTCTCTTCGCAACCATATTAGCCGTCTCCCTGGTCAGCCTCTACACAGCGGGGTTCGCAACAATCCTCATCTGCGATGACAACGATAAGCAAGCCTCCAAACCGGATGAGACCGAAGAACTTCTTGGGGAGAGGGAAGATGAGAAGGACGAATTCCTCGAGAAGAGAAAAGAAGATGCCGACCCCGAGGTACTACGAACCCCCCTCACCCGGGCCCTCCCCACCGCCGCTGGCTCGTCTGCTCAAGCCAGATGAAACGCTTTTTTATTAACGTCCAAGGAAAAGCCTACGATCCAGAGCCGGTGCGGATAGGACTATGGTCATACCTACGAGTATAGAGATCATCAACACTCACTTTCAGAAGGAGAATGGAGATATTGAGCGGGGAAATCACGATAATTCCGCCTAATCCTACAAGCAAGTCAGCGATTAGCAGCGTTTTCTCCGGCAGTAATTAAGAGACCCCGCGTCAGTCGATATCTCTTATCCCTCTCTTCATAAGAAAAGGGAGGGAGGAATGAACACAAGATAAACGGATCCCAGTCCCTCTAGGATCTTTTAAGAGACTGGGCAAACCTTTATTCATTTTTTCGTTTTACCAGTGTCCTTGACTGCCCTCCCATCAGCCTCGTTAACTGCCTACGCGCCTTTTAAAATTTCTCATCTTCACATCACTCATATGGCAGAGGACACAGTGTCTCACCCAGTTCACCCAACCATAAAACACCAAGTCATTGGCCCTGACCCTATATAACAGACACAACTCCCCAAATGTTTCCTCCGACATAAGAAACAAAAGAGTGGATAATGCGGGGACAACGGGACCAGGATCGGTTCTCTCCAAAAATTGGTTCGTCTCAACACCAGGGTCCCATCATCGTGGAGCCCTGCCTTGGGTGAGGGTTCCTGGACTTGATATGCGGGGGGGATGCTGGGAACCATCTGCCCAGTCAATCCGAACTCATCTGTCATTGATTTCATAGTTGCATGGAAACCACGCAACTCTGCCCGCTGCCCTTCCTTTCGACGTGTCAAATTCGTATCCATCATGAAGTATTCGAGTCATGCGGTAGAATTTGAAGCACGCACTGCGAAATCTTGGGAAACCTTGCCATATACGCTTCACCCTCAAGAGGTTGGCGAGCCTATTCCATGAGGGGAACATCCACCGACTGACATAGACTTCACTGCAACGTTGGCGATTCCAGTCTGTATAATTCTGCTGCCGACATTGGGTACTTTTGCAAAGTAATAACTACAGCTAATTCCAACGTTTAGTGGCAGCGCCATCTTCCGTAATGCTGCGGGCCCACCCGGCCTCCCAGAAGTCCCCAAGAAGCCCGATAAATGAGAGCACAGCGGCATACATAGAAAACCACACCGTGTCCCGTTGGATCCGTTTCCCAAGCCGATATGTAAAGCAAGTGGCCCTGTCGGCCATCCAGGGGGGTATTGTGAAAGAAATCAGGCCTCCAACGCCGTACCGAGGGTAACATCTCTGCTCCCTCAAAGTGACAAAAACATTCTATCCGTTCGTTTGTGATTCGTGGGAGAACCATACAGTTCATGACAGTGCAACTATCATCACGCTTCCTTGACTGCCTCGATGATGCTATACTCCCATGCCGTCTTTAGCTGCTCGCACTCTTCTACAATTTTGGGGATCTCCCACCACCACTGGTCTGCAGTGATGTACTGTCCCCATACTTCCCTCCAGAGCATACGGCCGACGATACTGCGAAGCTCCTGCTTGACAGCCTTATCTGCAAGCACCTCAGCATCGGTTGTAGCTGTGTCTGGTCTGTCTGTTGGTGGTATGGCGGAAAACCTCACAGTGGTGATGGTACTGCCTTCAGCACGGAGGGAAGCATCTGCTAACCACAGAGGGAAGAGTTTGCTTGGGTTCATGCAGCGGAAGTTCTTCTCGAGGTTGAAGATGAGGTTTTCCTCGATCCACGAGCGCATCAGAGGGCCCAACGTAGTCGTGACAGGAAGGGGGTCGATCAATGTAAGGTGAAAGGCACCACCGGCAGCGAGGCACCGGTGAACATTTTTGAGGAGACTGGGAACTTCAGGCGATGGCAGAAGCGCCGGTAGTGCTAACGAGTAGACTATGCCGAACAGAGATGGAGCCACTGGGAAGGCTGATGGCGAAATGGCAGGTACATTTACCGGGTGGATATTGGGAAAGAGTGTGTGAGACAGCGGTGACGAAGCCAGGTGGTACACTTGCTTATTGAAGTGGATGGCGGCTAGGTAAGAGGTTGTTGCTGTGCAAGTCAGTCAGAGTTACCAAAACTTGAATTTGCTTCCACGTACCCTGAGTCTCGTAAAGCGCGAGGACCTTCTTCGCCTTGGCAGGAGTAATTTTGTTGGGGTGAGCCTTCGGTTGGTCCACCTCTACTGGCTTGTCCATGTTGTGCAAAGAAGAAAGCATCCATCTCTTCTTTTCCATCTCAAGCTCCTTGTAGAGGCTGGCATCGGTGGTCTCGCCCCAAACCTCTTTCAGTCGCAAAAGCCGGATGCTGTGGCTTGCAGCGGCCATACGCCTGATCTCACGCTGCATCCCATTAAGATCCATGGACATGGCACATGCGGCATCGAGCTCTGGTGTCTCTTCAATGACTGCCTCAATCATTGGCGTTCGCACTTCCGGAGGTGGGCCACAGTCCCAGGCATCTGGTGGTTTCCAGGAGTCTGGATTATTGGGCTTGAATGCCATCGACCAGGAAGGAACTCGCCGTAATGAACGCTGCGGGCTAGGATGGCCAGGGAAGAGGTTGACAGGCGAGTCGAGCATGGCCGGTGATATCATGGCTGTCACCGCGGGCCTACATCTTGTCAGTGATGATACTGTTGGGGGATGACGAGATACTAACTGCGCCGTTGGAGAACGTGGGGGCGTCGGGGGCTCCTCCTTGACTGGCTCAGCTGTGATGGTTATATGAGAGATCATGCCTGAGATATCGTTTTCTATCGTCCGAGGCAGGATAGTGACCTCTGTGCTTTTGGTGATAAATGAGGTTGGGCCGAGTGTCTGGACGTAATGTTCCCTCTTTGCCGACGTCGACTCGGCGACCGATGTATTGCATGGGGATATCGGACCACCCACAGAGGTGTCCGTCCACTTGGAGAAAACAGAGTCTAGGAATCCTGAATATCAGTGAGCTGTGGCAAGCTTGTGGAAATGGGCCGGTCTACCTCTGTTGGATGAGATTGGTGAGTTCTGCTGTGACTCGACAGAATGTTGCTCTTGCGGCATGTAAGTGCGATCGACCGTAGTGACGGGGCTGCATGGGAGCTCCGTAGGTAGTGGCGGTGGCTCCGAGACAGCCGACAATAGCGAGCCTCTGAACGTGCTATCGATGCTCGGGGCTTTGAGAGCGTGCGTGGTGGATGTTTTGGTGCTTGATGGTGTCAGTGTCCTCTTAAGACTCCTAGATCCGAAGAAGCTGAACGGTTTGTTGTCGGATGACGAAGAGCTGCGAGTGGACATGGAACTCCTAGATGTTCTGGTCTTGTCCTTGTGCTCCCGCTCAACTGCTTTCCTCTCGCGGTGCTCCTTCCTAGACTCCCTGTCGGGGTCTGTCCACACGACTTCCCACATTGCGAGTCGTTTCTCGTCGGTCCAAACAAGAGACGTGTGTTGCAATAAAGATCCGAGTGACCAGGGGAGATGTTAGGGATGCTGGATAGACACGGCCAGCTGACTTTGGTGCTGGTTGAGACGCAAAACTGTGAGCTTGAATCGGCCGATCAATCGCATGCCCGAAATTCGGAAAACGGTGTGTTGCTGAATGTTTAGGCCCTGTGAAGGCCGAGGGCGTAGTTCGTCTGATGATTCGTGTTGTAGAAGTGAGTGAGGATGAAGTTAAGATACAGTTGCGGTCGGCGATAGGAAGTCGCAGGGGTCAAAGGTTGAAAAGCTGCGATGACCGACGGCCTGGACCATGGAGGAGAGCCGCGGAGGGTTGAATAGGGAGAGAGATGCAAGAAATCGGACCGACGAGAGTGCCGTCTCGAAGGGATGGAAGATTCGACAAAGTGAAAAGGGCAGCCGACGTCGGCAGGTGGTGTAGAGAGGAGGTTGAATGTGGTGGTGGACCAAAGCCGAAAAAAGATGGCAGGAGAAGAAAGGGCAGTCACGATGTGGCAGAAGGCAGGTGCAGTTCTGATTGAGAAGGACGCTAGTGTATCAGGAGGACCACGCGAAACCTGTATCAATCGGGAAGGCAGGAGACGTCAGGTATAGGACAGAGGCCGGGAGAAGGAAGGACCGAGGGGAAGACAAGGACGAAGACGAGGGCGCAGATGCGGACGCAAAGGTGCGGTATGCGAAGCCGCAGATAGATGGCAGTTGACAGTTGACGTGTGCGAGCGTCGCTTCCGGTTGTCGTCGTGCTTGTGCGGCAGCTGCAGGAGATTCGATACGCGCCGCAGATGCGAAATGCAACGTGAGGGATGACAACTCCAGGTCGAGATCCGGTGCGGCCTACGGCAACAACCTATGGATTCGGAAGAATGAAGTGCGCAACCTACAAACGGGCCAGCCTCTCGGTACTTGATGAAGACTAGAAAAAAAATGATACAAGAGCGGGAAGAGTGCGTCAGAGGAGAGTGAGTGACCCGTTCCGAGAGATTTGTATTTGTACAAATAGGCAATTACTTTCTCTCTTCCAACAGGAACCAGGTTCGACAGTGTGTGATCGTGCGTGTCCGTCTGATTATGTACCGTGTCATGGATAGGATCAGGACACCAGTTAATACTGTTGGGCAAGCAGGTTGGTTCGCAAGCCGAGTCGGCGGTCGATCAAGCTCCAGTATGAATTTGTGCTCCCCGGCTCGTCCATATATCGAATTGGGACTAACACAACCGGCTTTCCTTGAACCCCCTTTGGCCTTGGCTCCCCTCTCAATCTCGCCGATAGCCCATGCAGTCATCTGAGATTTTGTGGCGTCCTGCCGGTCATGGCCATGGACCCCCCCATCCATAGGGTTGCTGGTCCAGAATCATTGGACATTGATCGGCAAGTGTTTTTCATTGTCTCAATCCGTCTTGCTTTCGCGTTGCTTATTCCACCACCACCAGACAAGGGCGTCCCAGCCGGCATCATCAACTTTGCCCTCGCTCACAGACAAGAGATGACTGTACGCCCGGACTGTCAGTTGCACCAGGCACAGCAGCGGCGACTTGTGGAAGCCAACGTCAACGGGACGCAACGCGCCGTGCCACATTGGTGGAGGAAATATTGAGATGGATGCCCTTCTTCACGAACCGTTCCGAACCGTCAACGGGTTTCGCATTGTCAAACAGCAGAATTCCATTGCCTGGCCTCCCTCGACTCCAGGCACGTTGCGACCCTCATTCTTGGCTTGTATGGAACGCAAAAGGGCAGGGAAACGAGGACGTGCTCATTGTGTCCTGCCTTGCGGCCCCTGCCTCAAACACTCAAAGACGGCGCCCATGGAAGTTTTCAGCGAAAGGGACGGTGCGAAGCTTGCGTTGCCGGCCACATGGCGAAACCTATTGCTATCTTTGGGGGCTGTGGACTATCGATAAGTTCGCGCGTCGAGCTGCGTCTTTGTGGGAACTAGCCGTATCTTTGGAATCCGAATTGCCTGGTGCATACCAATCATGCTGAACGAAAGTGAGCTAGCCATGCGCTGGGAAGCATCGGGACCGTGTTTGCTTCCGTTCTTGCAAAGTGCCCTCGCACCATTGAAGACAGCTGCAAGCTGCCTTCTCGACTCAAGGCGGTGCTCCTCTCGATCCGTAGCGTAGCGGCAAGACCGGCGGGGAAGCCGTCGTACAGAATCCCCTCATGAGTCCATGACAGACGCGGTCGTGTCGTCTTCAGCTGTCAACTCTGCAGTCTGGTGGCTCTGTAGGTCCCGGCAGACCGTCTTGCGGGAGGCATCCGTTCATGTCGTCCGGGGATGTCCATGATCCCAGCGAGAAACGGACGACCCAGGCGATATGGTGGCATTGCAGCCTACACAGTACCCGCTCGAAGCGGATTCCAGTGACTCGGACCGGCAGACCGCTTGTTGGGAGCAGAGTGCAGACGATGATGAGGCGTCGTGGATGTGTGTGTATGTGAAGGGGTCCAGGGGGCCACTGTTCTGGGCAAACGTCAACACTTGAGCAGGGGCTGATAAAGTGGCTAGCTGCGAAGCCACGGTGGTGGCATCGTAGTCCGATGTTTGATGTTGGCGTTGGAAGGCTCGCAAGACTCAACCCAAAGTCCAAGAGTGAGATGGAGTGCAAGGCAGGGGACGAGGGCCACTGGGATGTCGTCTGCAAGGTGGAAGAGTCGGGATCACAGATTGGATTCAGGGCGCGGGTGGATCTGCAGGGAGACGGCAATCCGGGGCAGGGCCACCCCTGAAGTTTGCGAGATCTAAACCGTCTTGGGGGACAAAGTGGTTCGTGAGTGGTCAGGTTCCAGCTTCCCACTGCAGCGGCGCCGCTAGGGGGCCCGTGTCAGGGGACTTTGCAGTCTGCGGGGCACGTCCTGGCGGCCGTAACTGCTAGCAAGCCTACCTTAGGTAGGTACCTAGGTAGTGACCCTAAGGCACATCAGTGGCCCAGGGACCACTCACGGCTCAGCGATGGCATCGTCCGGCCAAGCCCAACACGCCCAGGTGCGCCGCGGAGCGATCCATGCCACCCTCCACCCTCCACTATCCTTTTCGCGGCTCACTTGGCCACTTTAAGCGAGTTTGCCAACCAACGACAATGGAGAGCAAACATTCTTTCCCTTTTCTTATTCCAACAAAGACCCAATCCAACGAGGTCTCAAGCAGGTCCCAACTCAATTCCCGCCAGAGTCAGAGGGCCTTTGTGGTCTATCCACTTCCCGTTGGTGCCATTGAGAAAAGTGTCTTGACTCTCGAGCCCTTTCTAGATGCGGCATACCTTACCCCCAAAGGCCCGTTTGCCAACCATCACCTGCGACCAACTCGAAATTGCCAACGGGCTTGACCACAAACATGTTCCAACATCTCCTAACGGTCTATCCATGGATACCGGAGGGAGATCAGATCACGATAGCTCCATCCCAACAAGCACGGGGCACCTTTTACCACGTGGTTTGACATTTTGGCCGCGACGCATCGGGCGTGGCCTAGGACCGACGTTAAACTCTCCGTAGTGCTGGAAGATAAAGAAGCGAGCGAGCGAGGAAAAGAGCGGCCTTTTGTATCAGTGCATGATGCGTAGGCAAGGTACCGCGTACGTATGTCTGAGTCTTCTTGAGAGCCGGCCAGTGAAGAGGCCCTCAAGTCAGACCGATGACGGCTGTAGCACACGCAAGATCAGCCGCAAAAGAGCAAACAAGTGATAGCTAGGCAATGGTCACCAGGGGCTGACGCGAGAGCAGAACATTGTCACAAGCTCAATCTCGGTACAAGGACGAATTTCCCGCATATGATGCAAAGTACCGGTCACCGACCTTGGCGGTCCTATCAAGGAGCTTCGAGACATGTCTCGCTTGCCAAGGTCGACACTGCAGCGGCTGCCTGCAGGCAAGAAATTGGCTCATGGCTGGATTTCTTGTTGCAATTGGTTTATCATCTGGAAAGACGGCAAAGCTGAGCGGCCAGATGAAGAAAGGGATAGTCGAATAGGTCATTGGCTGGGGCTTGGTCGATTATAGGGGACAGAATTACGATGGCATACGTTTTTGGATAGGCCTGGGCGATGGAGGGCTTGATTTCAAGGCTGATTGGGCGGTTTCCGATGATGAAGCTATCGCGACGACCTGGGACATCGACGATAAGGTCAGGAAGCAGGCGATTTCAATGCCTCGTTCGGACGATGGCGTGGTTCTTCGGCAGTCCGAGCGGTTGACGAACAAAACTAAGACGCGCCTAACCTGACAGCTGGGTCGTAGGTTCGTGAGGCGTTGCGCACAGATGGAGTTCGTTTCTTGAGAGAGTCGAGCTAACGTGATGGATGGTATCGTTTCCTGTCCTCGAAAGCCTATCAACTCGTACGAGAGCGTGGACGCGATATCAGTCGTGGCTTGAAAGTTTGGCGCGTAGCCATTGATGATGAAGGCCGGCTCACAGCCCGTCGGCAAGGCCTTGTGGTGAATCAATGGACAAGGCGTTTATCGTTGGGAAAAAAGCGTCCTCGTCCAGCTTTGGGGACTCAAGCCTTTTGAGCATTCGTGGCGTCGAGAGATGGCCGGTTTAGGAGGAGCTCTCTCGCAATGTCCTTTGACGGCAGATTGGCACGAGCACCTCCACCTTCCGGTTGGTGATTGTAGATCTCCCTTGAGGCTAGCGCCTCGCGTCAACGTGGAAGAAACAAGCTGGGCCTGTTAGTGGCGGCCTGGACCTTCTCTGCTCCCCAGGCCTCAAGGCTAAGCCTGCGATGTGGACTTCCCGCAAGACGTTCCCCACCTCCACGCGGCATTGGCGCAGTATAGGTTTTGCTGAGGAAAAGAAAGACTGGTACACCCTCTTTCACTGGCGTACCTCAGAAAGTGGCAGACTAAAGCAGGGTCAACTCGGTGAGGAAAGGTATCCTTCTCGGAAGAGGGGGGAAGAAGAGACATTGGATGTTGTCCAGGAGAAGCAGGAGATGTATGTACCTACCTACCTTTGCCTTTAGGCTTGGGGAAGCTTGAGGCAGGTAAGTCCGGTAAAGTAGGTACGATGGGGTCGTTTGTAGCCGTGCAGCTGTGCAGTAGACATGGGCAAGAGCGAGCAAGGATATAATTGATCCTGCCACTTTCGCCCCTTCCACTTCCAGGTTCTTCCCTTCTCTAGGCATTCCATTAACCATTAACGCACCTTCACTTTCTTCTCCAACGGTGCATCTGCCTTCCCTTTCTTCTCTTTTTCCAAGACAGCTCTTTTATCGATCCTTCCCGCAGGATTTGGTCTCGTTGCCAGGCCGTCCCGAGTACACCCTCTTCTAAGTTCCGAATACTGCTCTGGACTTACCTCAGGTTCTCGTCACCTCACTTTACATTCCTTTCTTCTACTCAATCCTTTCCATTTCGGTTCCAACACCAACCGGACCTCACTCCCAGGTTCTCCTGCGGCTTGCCTCATTCTTTTTCCTCCTGCCTCCTCGCCGATTGTGTGCCAACCACCTCCCGCCTCGCCTCGTACAGGACTCTGAGACATCTCAACCTTCTTCCTTTTGTACTGAGTCCTGTACCACAACCTCCTCACCACTCGGGCTCCCTACTACTCACTACCACCTACCTTTCCGAGTCGCCTGGGCGCTCGTCCACCGACTCTCCTTCCTCCATCGCTCGCTATGAGCAACATGTCGACTCACTCCAACATGGAGCGTTTGGAACCCGTCGAGTCGCCCGTTCGTCGATCCGCCTTCGGCCGCAAATTCCACGCTATGTGGAAAGCTGTCGATCGTTGCGACAAGCGAATCTCTACGTCCACTTTTGGACGAATCTTCAGACTCGAGGGAAGCGGCCATGTATGTTTTCTCTCCTCGCCTCTGTTGTCGAATTCTCTAACCCCAGACAGCCTAAGGAGATTCCCGATACATCATTCTTTAGGGAGATTCGCGCGGGAGTGACCACCTTTGCGACCATGGCGTATATTATCGCTGTTAACGTGAGCATATATCTTTGATCGGTCATGAGGGTTTTGTGCTGATCGAACTAGGCAATCATTCTCTCGCAGACCGGCGGCACTTGTGAGTGCGACTTGGTAAACAGAGCCGACTGCGACAACATCGACAGCTACAAGGCCTGCAAAGAGAGTAAGTCGGCCGAGATCACGTAATGAGCCCGGCTAACCTTGCCAGATGTTCGACTTGACCTGATCACTGCGACTGCTGCCATCGCCGGACTCGCCAGCTTCATCTTCGGGTTCTTCACCAACCTTCCGGTGGCACTTGCGTAAGTGTTTGCCTCGTATCCAAATCTAGCCCTTACTGACATATAGTACAGTCCTGGCATGGGCCTGAACGCATACTTCGCTTTCCAGGTTGTCGGCCCCAACGGCTCAGGCAACATTCCCTACCGTGTTGCCTTGACAGCAGTCTTCGTGGAGGGACTTATCTTCATCGTTCTTGCTCTTACCGGAATGCGCCAGTGGCTTGTCAAGCTCATCCCCGCTACTATCAAGACGGCGACCGGCGTCGGTATCGGTTTCTTCTTGACAGAGATTGGACTTTCTTATTCGGCCGGGATCGGTGCCATTACTGGAGGCTGGAAGTCTACCCCGCTCGCCATCGCGGGATGCCCTGTTGAGATGATCGACCCGGATACGCAGATGTGTGCTGGAGGTATCATGTCGAGCCCCAAGATGTGGACGGCAATCTTTGCTGGCGGTCTTGTTACGGCCTATCTGATGTCGTTCCGGGTCAAGTATGCTCTCATCATGGGTATTGCCCTGGTGTCCATCTTGTCCTGGCCGTAAGTCATCCGCACTCCGTGACGCGAATTTTGCTGACCATTTCAGACGCAACACATCCATCACCTACTTCCCTTACAACGAAGAGGGCGAGAATCGCTTCAACTTCTTCAAGAATGTCGTCACGTTTCATCCAATCCAGCACACCCTTAACGCCCTGGACTGGGATGTCACGAAGAACGGATCGCAATTCGCCCTGGCTCTCTTCACCTTCCTCTACGTCGACATCATTGACGCCACGGCCACGCTGTACTCCATGGTCCGCTTCTGCGGCGTTGTCGACCCCAAGGATGGCGATTTCCCTCGTTCTACCATTGCCTATTGCTGCGACGCGGCATGCATCTCCATCGGCTCACTGTTCGGTTGTTCTCCAGTCACGGCCTTCATCGAGAGTGGTGCGGGCATTGCAGAAGGTGGCCGCACCGGACTTACATCCATGACCACGGGTCTTTGCTTCCTCGTCTCCATCTTCTTTGCTCCCATCTTTGCGTCTATCCCGCCTTGGGCAACCGGTTGCACGCTCGTTCTGGTAAGTTCCAAGAGGAATTGATCGGTGTTCTAGTCTAACTGTCGCAGGTCGGCTGCATGATGATTCGTCAAATTACCCAGATCAATTGGCGTTACATCGGCGATGTTCTTCCATCCTTTGTCGTAATGACTTTCATTCCCTTCTCGTACAGCGTCGCTTACGGCCTTATTGCGTAAGTTCTTCTCATGACATCTCTCTGACCATGACTGACCATACTAGGGGCGTATTCGTGTACACTGTTCTCAACGGCTTGATCGCCTTGACTGTCTGGCTGTCTGGGGGTAGAATCGAGCCCCGCGAGTACGATGCGAAGGAATACTGGTCCTGGAGAGGCTCTGGCAAGAAGCCTTGGTTTGTGCGCGCTGTCCGCAACAGCTGCTTCAGCAACGGCGACAACGACAGCAAGCGCCAGTTTAACATGCAGGATGACCACGATAGCTCCTACGCTCCGGGTTCGCGCATGGGTTCATCGGACCAAAAGGAGGACGGTGTTCACATGGTGACGATCCCACAGCGGGCAGTCACGCCCCGTTCTGTGCACTAAAGAAAAGTATTTGGTCTAGGGTTAGATTCTTCATTTTCTGTTACTGGGGAGGCGATTTTCTTGCAAGAATATTGTGCCAGGTCTACTGGCTATATCACTTGAATCAGCTGTCAATGATTGTAGATAGCAATGAGACACCAGCTTTGAATTAATTCCTCTACTATGATAGTGACATTGTTGGTCTGTGAGTAAGCTTTAAGTTACGTTAAGCTTGGAGAGTCAGATGCCCCGGCGAATCTTTGACCCTGGTCCCGTTCCACCGTGCCCCACCACAGCTCCGACCAAAGGTAGGTTGCGTCAACAGTCCAGCGCTCCGTCCGCAAACATTGAAGCTTCAATCTCCAGCTTACCAATTCCCGTTCGAGTGCGAAATCCCATTTGACTGCGACGCGAACCACTCAGGCAGTTACGACGTCTTGCAGAACACTCGAACAACTCCGCGACCAATCCACCACACTCATAAGTAAATACCCCTCCTCCGCCTCCAAGATGAGTGGTGGATGGAATACCAGTATGCAACCCCCGAAAGAAGCTTCAGCCAATTGTCTTTGCTAACTGTTGCAGTCGAGTCCGATGCAGTACGTGACTCTACCGAATTGAAATAGCGCCAAACTAACCGCCCAGGGCGTCTTCACCTACCTGCTCGAGAACCTCGGTGTCAAGGGTGTTCAGTTTGAAGAGCTGCTCACACTCTCCCCCGATGAGCTAGCGCCGCTGCAGCCAATCTACGGCATCATCTTCCTCTTCCGCTACCCTTCCGAAGGCCTGCCCGCGCGACCAGCAGACTCCTACGACCGCGATGCCGCCGAGAGCCTCTTCTTTGCCCAGCAGACGATCCAGAATGCCTGCGGCACGCAAGCGCTCCTGAGCGTCGTTCTCAATAAGACCAACGAGGTGGAGATTGGGGAGAAGCTTGGCGAGTTCCGTGAATTCACCATGGTTCTGCCTCCCGAGTTCCGCGGGGAGGCGCTCAGCAACTCTGAGCTGATCCGCGATGTACACAACAGCTTCGCCAAGAGCAGTCCCTTCGTCGACGAGACGCAGAAGACGGGTGAGGCCGAGGATGCCTTCCACTTTATCGCCTACACGCCCATCAACGGCAAACTGTACGAGCTGGATGGACTGCAGCCTGCACCCATCTCGCACGGCGCCTGCACGACCGAAGAGTTCCCAACCAAGGTGACGCAGGTCCTCCAGGACCGCATGCTTACGTACGCTAGCTCTGAGATTCGCTTCAACGTGCTGGCCATGGTACGCGACCCGAGGATTGCGGCAAAGGAGATTGGTGATTCCGAAACCCTGGAGCGAGAGAACGAGAAGCGCCGCAACTGGAGGTTTGAGAACGCCCTGCGTCGACACAACTTTGTTGGATTCGCAGGCGAGGTCCTGAAAGGCGTTGTCGCGCAGAAAGTCGAGGGTGGCGATGCGGCATACGATGCCTGGATCAAGGAGGGCCTCGAGCGGAGGAAGAGAGATGAGGATGCCGTGAGATTGAGACGGAAGATGGGTGGCGGCGGTGACGACGACGAAGAGATGATCGGTTAAACGTGTCAATGATACCATGAATAGAAGCGGGATTACGTTTGGGTTCATTTTGGACAGGTGCCTACAGGTCGTGATAGGAAATGGAGCCATCAAACTCAACTTGAGCCTCGCCTGGAAGCCGACTCGGCCGTGTTTTGAGGTTCGTTTAGTTTGGTTTGGTTTGGTGTTCCATGCCCAGATTCCGCGAAAAGAAGTGAATACTGACAAAAGCTGATTGACCGCAGACATTCAGCTGGCATAGTCGGCTTTGTGAACGAATGTTCAGTTCGCCCTGGATCAGCATCATCCTCTCGAGGCTGATCGAGGCTCTGTCTGCCACCCTCCGCATACATATCTGTTCCGGGGCCCTATCTGGTGCTACATAGCAAGTCACTACAGCAGCTTTATTGATCATAGACAGGCCATCGCTCTATAGCCTATCCGAGTCCTTTCAGCCTCGACATCGGTGAGCGACCCGGGAGGCGAGAGCTGCTGTTTTCACTCTTCATCCAGGGTCGGCTCGACAACCCTATTGTTTTCACCCTCCTTTCCCGCAATGAAACGCCTATTCATCTTTCATTCACCATCAGACATGATATTTAATCTGGCTCTTTCCAGGTCAACTCACCTTTCACTTCCACACCTCAACACCACCATACTCGCCTGCCCATCCACATTCTGCAACGATGGGTAGAGTGAAATCAGAGCAACCCGCCGGCAGAAACGGCCAAGCCAACGGCCAAGCCAACGGCCGAGACCAGCGCAATCGCGGTGGCCGTGGACGCGGACGTGTCCAGCAGAGTCGAATGCATCGCACTCCCGCCCCCTGGTCGGCTCGTGACTATTACGCCCTCGGACGTCTTCACTCCCCAATTCCTGCCCCCGCCTCCGCCTCCGCCCCCGCCCCCGAGGCCTGGGTCTCTCTGGGAGACCTCGACAGAAACCTCCAGAAGTGGATGAGAGAGGGGCAGCCGGGCGAGACGCTGTCCAGATGGGGCCTGGGACCTGGCGAGTATGACATTCTCGAGGACCGCGTCCTCGCGGATATTGTGGCCAAGTGGCCCGACGCGACTGTGGCTCTGCTCTACGACAAGGCGCAGGAGGCTAGAGAGCATGTCTACCGCCACTTTGCGGGCCAGGGCAAAGTCCGCATCAGTCTCGAGGCGAGCGACTGGCTCAAGCTTGAGGGCTTGTGGAAGCTTATGGGTAGGGCCTCTTATTTGATGGGAGAGAGGACTGGACGTTGACGTGGGATTAAATTCGTTGCTGACACTGGAATTTCTTTCTCGCAGACAAGGCCCTTGGTCACGAGGAGCGCAATTACCCGTTCAACTACACTTACGATCAGATCCGCTTCTTTGACCGCGGTACGATGGACAAGCAGTATGCCTTCTACTTCAAAAAGTACGAGCACGAGCGTGCTCCCGCACAAGACGTCGCTCCGGCTGCCGCCGCTGCCGCTGCCCCGATCGTCGGCCGTCCGATGTCGTCGGTTCCTCCTGCCGCCGCTGGTACTTACCTCATCCGAGAGCAGGCGCACATGCCGACGGCCTGGATGGCGGCGCCTGGTGGTCCGCCTCCCACTGCCCAGGGTGGTGGTTTCTGTACCGGCAACCACGTTCCTGGATCCTTTGTCCCGATGCCTTCGCAGGGAGCCTGTATGATGGGAGGAGGAGGAGGAATGGGCCAGCCGGTCGTCCACGGAGGCACCGCGGGCCACTTCTATCCTGCGCCTCAGCATCACCACCATCATCCTGGACCGCAGCCGGGGCCTGGCATGGGCTATTACTAAGTTGATAACGATGTTGAAGAGAGAGCAAGAAAGCAAGCAACACTGGATGGAATTGATGTGGTGTTTTTGGCTCGGCTCTGGATTCTTTCGTTGAGATGGATGGATGATAGGCGAGGTCACGCGGAAGGATGGAGGATGGAAATGGGTCGACTTTGTTCATAATCTGTTCGTGGCCATGGTGGATGGATGCAGTGGTATCTTGTCCAAGGGTAGTCACTGAATGAGGATATTCCCCATGAATCGTAGCTGAAGTTGTGCAAACTTGATCATGTGCGTCTATCACTGTAGGACATATTGCGGGTGATGCCTGCCTTCCACTGCCCCTGACCCCAGCTCCTCGTTGCTCGGTATAATTTACGCCCTCGTGAGAGTTTCCATTTTAAGTGTTTCCATCTTAAGTGCTTCCATCACACGTGCTTCCATCGTACGTGCTTCCATCGTAAGTGCTTCCGTCATCGCGCAATTAATCATCTATGTTTTGGTGGAGGAGACTGTGTGGTGATGGCACTCATTGCTAGACATCGCTGTCCTTCGTACGATCTTGAATCATCTCGAGTGTAAGACACCTGACGGAAGGTCATCGCCACCGTCCAGGTGACTAGTCGCTGTGGTCGTGCCCTTCTTCATATCACACCACCAATCACCAGAAACTCCCATGGATGGAGTGACATCGATCGAAGGCTAGTCGCTTTCACACATGGACGATTGCATCGCACGGGTATGAACTATTGACGCACGTCGCAAATTTGTTCTCTACAGACAGGGTTGATTTCATTACACTCCTCTTCGCATAGTGTCATTGTAAGCCTTTTCGCATCTTGCCGAACCTTCACAGAAGCAAATTCTTGTGCGTCCCAACGCTTCGTGACCCGAATCCCTGTGAGTCCAAGTCTAGTTCCCGCAGACTCTCAGTAGAAAAAATACTTCACAGCGCTCCATCCATGCTGCCTTTGGTCTTCCAAGATCAGTTCCTCGTTCTGAAGGGCGGTCTGCCAATCCCTAGTCACTGGGTCCACCTGGAGACGACTCTGATTTTCGGAATCCTTGGCGTAGTCGTATGTGAGCCAGAACTGCTTATTGGCGTCTTTGAACGTGTTCTTCCAGATCTCCATGGCAAAAGATTTCGTCCAGGGATAACCCACTGGATTCTGCATGTATTTTCCCTCGTGATAATTCACATAGGCGCACGCAATACTGATCCAGACACGCATGGTCAGGATTGGTGGTTTGTTTGCGCGTCGAACAATCAAGACATGATGAAGTAATTCCAGCCGCGGTATGTGGAAATCATTCTTCTCAAAAGACTGGCAATTGTCAAGGCGATGCTCTGTTGTGTTGCGTATGGGGCATCCGTCAATGTCGCTGAACGGGCCTGGCCAAATGCAATCAATCAACCCATGGCCGAGAGCTGAGCAGTGTCCGCAGATGACACTGGCGTTTCTTTCGTCTCGCTGGAGGAAATCGTTTCCTGTCATGAGTTTGTGGGTGGCGGGGTCGGGAGTCTGCTTTGGAGGTGCCCAACCCGACAGCGGACGACGAAGTGAGAAGATTTGATGACCATGTTTCGACGAGCTCTGTTCTGGCACAGCAAAGCTTGTGCTGTTCTCTGTCTTTAGGACGCTTTCATGTTCAGCTTTCATCGTGGAATTGTCGACGTGACTATTGCATGGTTAGTGAGTCGCCTTTCTGCCTCTTATCAGGGCAGCACAAACCGGGATTCATCTTGGGTGCCCTTGCGATTTTTCTCAATTCTCAAGCCGAGCCAGTCTTCTGACGACCCAACGCTTCGATACCCGGTATTAGGTTTCCAGTAAAGAAGGAACCATGTGTCCCCTGGAGCTCCAAACCAGCCATCCCGTGCACCCCAAGACCCTTGAGGTTCTCCAGATTGTGTGAAAAGCTGGACCTGATCCAAACCGTCCGTTCCTGGCTTTTGCAGTCGAACTGCGGCTCGTAGTACATATGTGACCCGACCGCGGTCGTCCATGTCACTGTAACATTGGTTGCTGAGGTATCTGTCTCTGATGCTGAGGGTGCGTAATTTGTCAGACGGAGTCTGGTGGCCGTCGGCTGCGGAATATTCCAGGCGGAGGAATTCAGGATTGTTGCGGCGTCGAATATGTTTTCCCATTACTCTGTCGATTTCCTGATCAATCTCTGTTCCGAGATCTAAAGGGGCCGAAGCATCCAGTCGTATGATCCTGAAGAAGGCGCTTCTCGAGAACCCATGGCTTGCTGAAGCCGAGTCAGAGGCGGTAGATTCGAAGCAGAAACGCTGGTCAGGTCTGGCCCAGAGTGTGGAGTACAAGGAGTTTGATGAGACTAGTTCCCTGAATGACGGCCCATCGCCCAAAGATAAAGCCTCAAAAATCTTGACCGCAACTCTCACATATTCCTTTCCATCTCCTAGGAAATCGAAGTCGAGCCATGCGTGGCGCATCAGTGGGTTCTTTTCTTCCAGTTGTCTAACAGGGTTGTCAATGGTTCTAGCTTCCAATGGAAGACAAGAGTTGATCATCTTAATGATGGCTGTTAGGCAGGCTAGCCCACGTATGCTGGCCGGTCGTCGTCGATACAACCAACCAGTGGGCCAGTCGTTGAGAAGTAAGTAATCTTGTAGCGCTCGATCATTCGTGAATGCACGTATGCCCGCCATCTTTGAGCGAATCCTTGTCGTCGATTTTCAAATACTAAATGTGGTTGGACTAGAGAGGGGTGAAGAGTAGCCGACGGGTCTGAATGAAAGATTGGGAGGATGTTAGAGTGTCGTGCGTGAGTTAGGACGAGAAGAAAACTTTAAGCGACGTTCTGGCTTCAGTAGTGAGAAGGCATCAGAGGAAAGAGCCCACTCCTCATTGCGGTCTGAATCACCCGACCGCAAGACTTCTTCTTTTGGCATCGTACCTTCCAAATTATGACACCATGGCATATGCCGATTTCAACTTCGGAATACACAATGCGTATACCGATCCGGATGAACCAAAAGAAATTTCGAAGAGTGCGTTGTGGAGCGAGATGTGCCCAAGCCCTCCGATATATCCTATAGTATCTCGTGTAAGCGATGCGCCTCATCTTGATTCAAGATAAAGACAGGAAAACTTAACTCGCAAAGAAAGGCCGACGAAGAGCTCTCAGGCCGTCAAGGCAGAGACCGGATATGCGAGTGCGACTTGCCAGCACAACACCTTGGAAGTAGGCTGATTGCTCGTTGGACTTCGAGAATAGCGGCCGGGAGTGCGATCAGTTTTCACGAAGACAACGCTATTCATAGAAACGACGTGGGAGAACTAGATTGTACTAAGCCCTCTCATTGACAGACAATCTTATTCAAGTAAAAACTTTGAAGATGACCCAAACAATACAAACACCACTCGTGGTCGGCAATCGTCTTCAATTTTTTATATCAAACGAATCACAGAACTGGAGACTACGCCTAATGCCGACGTCTATAGCCAATTGACTCAGTGTTAAAAGGCACCCATTGCCCGAATCGCCAGAACCTTGTAGTCAGAGCAGCAACTCGGAGTCCACTCCGATAGGGCTCGGGAGTCTTCGTCGAATTTCTGGCCCCTCTGGCCTTGCGCCTCGTTCGAGTTCTCGGAATTGCTGCCCGCAGGACTCGATGTCCTATTCTGGATCTCGTACCGCCTGTTGGGGATGTCGGAGAACAGCAAGGGGCTTTCGAACCAATCGGTCTCCGTGTACAAGTTGGAAGACGCCGGATATCGCTGCGCGATGTACATCTTGATGAACTTCCGCACCTTTCCCCAATTCAAGTCGCCATGCGCCTTGGCTACGTCTTCTAGGTAGCTGGTCAACTTCGAAGGGGGCTGTCTCCCTGGAATCTTCGTCGAGAAGTCGACAAAAGCTGAGATGCCTGGGTACTCGGTCCATCGTGAGTTCTCGCGCGTCTCGAAGTCGAGGATGCGGTCAATGTCGACCCAATCCATGACAGCGAAGATGGCCGAGGTCTCGTAGGGACACTTGACGATAGGGCCGACTGATTTGCGACCGTTAAAGAGTTGTCTCCATGTCTGACTCTCCATCTTCCGGCGCTTGTTCTCGATCTCCTTCGAGTACGGGGCGTAACGGGTGACGATGTAGTCCTTGGCCATGCAGTTCCACTTCAGGCCCGCTGCTTTATTGCGTCCATTAATGCGGATAAGGGACTCAATCTCATGGCGGCCGTATTTCACTGCGTCCAGGGCAGGGTTCACCAGATCTGACAGAGGCCAGTAGACGGACTCGGAACAGAGGTGATGAAGCCTCTCAGCGCGGGCTCGCGTTGCCGGACTCATAAACTGGCCCGTTTCATTCTTGGAGAGAATGTGGGCCAGCCAGTCTGCCGCTTCCGCGGCCTTGGGAGACGGAAAGTCTCCCGAGGGCTGCGGGGTATATGTCAGGGCAGTCTGGAGGTTGCCCATTCTGAAGTCGACGCGATCGTTGTGTTGAGTGGCCATTGTAGTGGAACTTGGGAGATAGATGGCTTCGTGGAAGTATTAACCAGTGAATACGAGAAAGGAGGTTGGAATAATTGAGTCAAGGCGAGGAAAGGGACTAGACGAGAGGTAAGAGAATTGAAGTGCTACAGAGAAAAAAACCTGACTATTGGGGAGAAACCTGACTATTTGAAGACCGCAGGAAGATATATCCGTTTGGTAGCTTGCCTTTGACCGAAGGGGTCGAATGGCCACTTGAGAAGGGAGAGTACGCACATCGAAAAGGTGGACGAGCTGCCGTCCCTCGCATCTCCGATTACCTTACGGATACCTCGATGTTACAGTTTGGCCCATGATTCGGTCAATCTTTTCAACTTCAATTCTGGTTACCGATGATAGGCAATACCATGCATCTGGATCTCTTTACAAGCTATAACAGCGCTCATCATCACATCCAGCGGAGCCAAAAAAGGGGTTGTTGCACTCCCGGAACTGAGATATTTGGACCGTTGTCAGGGGCTGCCCGGCCTCCACAGAAGGCGCAGAGTTAGATAATCTGATTCAATGATCATCCAGACTGGGCTCTAGACGGAAGAGGCGGGAGTAAGAAGCATTGGGACAAAGGCCGCTACAGACGCTGAGATGGAAGGTGAAGCTATACCCAATGGCACCCTGACCTTGGATCAAGCTTTGAGAACGAAGGTGAACATCGTGACGAAAAGGGTCTCTGTTCTCGCTATAATGGGCACGACCGTGATTTGAAATCTCAAAATGGCATGTATTTCCAGGCAGTGGCTACAGTGAACTTAGACGAGTGCGATGGATCATTAGAGTGCTACCTGGAGGTTGAGTGAGGTTGAATTAAGATACGGCTATATAGATATACGCCCCACTCTATGCGACAAGAAGATTATATTCATCAATGCAAATTTGATACAGGAGTTTCTCAGAATCCCTGCAAGCTCGTGCCGATAATAAGAAGATCGCGAAAAGCATCTTTATCACAATGCTACCGAGACGCGTGCCATTAAGTCTTTTCAGGCGAACCAAGCCGTCGTTGTGTCGCGCCTACAGCTCTAGCCACGCTATCAGAGGTGCGCCTCCAACGAAACCCCATATTCACTCCATCCTAGGTACATCAACCAACCCTCTGCGTAGAGCACGATGTAGTGATCCTACGTCAACGAGGGGCCAAAGAGCCCAAATTCCACCTCTCACCTCCTCTCCGACCGGACGCGGCGATCAAGCTTTCCTACGGTAGCAAAGTAAACGCCTCCGACATCATCGGCAAGTCCTTTCTCGACTCGATCAAGGACAGCGGCGGCCGCAATGTGCGACTCCTCGAGGCCTCGCTCGGGCAATACGTCGCCAACTCCCCGCGCGTGGCGACACCGGTATGAAACGACTTCTTCCCAGGACCTGAAATATTGAGAAATAAAAGAAAAAAAAAAAGTTATTGGCCGACAAAGACTGAAACGCGCCATGCGGCAACTCTCGGGCTAGATCTACCCCCAGGATGCCAACCTCATCGTGTCCTTCCTCGACCTGAATCTTCCCGTGCCCGGTGAGGACCCGGACTTTGACGCCGGCCCGCCCGTCGAGATCTTCGAGGCCGGCACGGGCATGGGCGCGCTGACGCTGCATCTCGCACGCGCGATCCACGGCGCCAACCCGCCCTTGCCGCCGCGCCTCCGTGACGCACTTTGCACAGCACCGTACGCGAAGAACACGCTTCGGAAGGAGGTTGCGTCAGACGAGGCAGCGAAGGAGGAGGATAAGAAAGTGCCTAAAGCAGTACCGCACGCTCTCGATATCGAAGACCCGGAACTTGCGGCGCTGTACAAGGAGCACCTGGCGAGTCGTAGGGCGATCCTGCACACGTTGGACGTCAATCCGACATCGAGCCGGATGGCCCACGGCCTCGTTCGGCACTTCAAGAGGGGCCTGTACCTCTCCGACGTCGACTTCCACGTCTGCACAATCCGATCGTACCTGGCCTCGCGCCTCGCCGAGAATGGAGGCGAGGCGTTCCTCTCGCACGTGATCCTCGATCTCCCGGCCTCACAGGACTACGCCGACATGGCCGTCAAGGCCCTCCAGCCCGACGGCAAAGTCGTCATCTTCTTCCCGTCCATCACGCAGATCCTCGACTTTGTCGTCTGGGCAAAGGACACGGAGCAGCCGCTGGTGCAGGACCGCGTTGTAGAGCTGCAGACATCGACGTCGGGCGATGACATGTTTCAGGACGGCACGGGCGGTCGGAACTGGGACGTCAAGGTTGTGAATATTCGCAAGGCGATTGAGAGGGGTGAGACGGGTGCGGCGGCGAGGGGGATCGTTTGCCGGCCCAAGGTCGGATCGCGAGTTGTCGGGGGCGGCTTTGTTGCGGTGTTTACAAAGTTGCCTCCGACGGCTGCCAAGCTAGAGGAGAGCGCGGATGAGGTTGTAGCTGTTCCTGAAATTACATCTGTCCCCGAGACTGAGGCATTGCCCTGAAGGGAAGCGCCAACAAGCTCATAAGGGAAGAGTTATCAACGGTGAAGCAATGGAGGAGAAGAAGGCGAGCTTCTTAGGTCTTCAGATCGCCTATGCCCGTTCTTCATGTAGAATACTTGTGTTATAGCTTGTGTACGTTAAGGCGCCTTGATAGACCCCATAGAGAAGAGTCACATAGGTATAACAGACATGTATATCTGAGCAAAAGAGAGATCACCACACTGCGGATGTTGGCGCAAAGTGACAGAGCAAAAGATCGCGGAAGTGAGCCGATTTCCTGTGTTCTCTCACCTCTATCTTCGAAGCCGGGATGTCATCTAGACTCAAAACAAAAACATACAACACCAGGTATTCGCTGGTCGTCACCGACCCAACTACTAATCCGGCCCTCATTGGCTTATCTATGGGAGAGCGGACGGGATCCCGAGTTTTCCAATGGGTATGGTCGTATGTGACGATTTCAGGATGCCAAGTTGATTATATCGTGACAAGGGCGATGGCGACCTTTCAGCCCATCGCGGGCCTGATCCTAGTACACAATCACTAGAAATTCCAGGTCTTGTTTAGACCCCCTTGAACGAAGAATATCATTGGGTATTTCAACCAAGGCTCTCTACGCCTTTAGAGGCACAACATCGCATTGCGAAGTAACCATCCCGAATATCCAGGGTTTTGCATGATGGTGTTGGAGATCACAGTACAAATACAGTGCGCATACACTTTCCAGCCCGAATCCCTCTACTCCACACTCCATGGCGTTCACATCTCCAACCTCACTTGATCAACTTCAAGCAACATTTATCACTCAGCTGGATCCAACCTCACTAAAAGCTTGCAATATGACTTCTTCAGGCACCGTCACGCAGCTCTCGATTCCGCTGCCTCACTCCCTCGACACCCGCATCCACATTCATCTGAGCACCAAGGCCAAGGTGGCAACCCTCTTCCTGACCTCAGTGACGCAAGACGAACAGTCGGGGCCAGCGGCACTTGGCTCGTTCGTATACGCACTGCCAAACGTATTTTCCATCCCACATCCCACCACAAATGGCAAACATACCAATACGAGCTTTTCTTTACTGACACACAAACAAAGAGACTTGAGCCGGCTCAGCCCATCTCAACGGCTATTTACTCGGTGGAGTCGACACTGGAGTTCACGACGCGGGTGGCCAAGCTGCTAGCCAAGAGGGCCAACATGCCTGTGTACGTCGGCTGCTCCATCAACCTGGGCGGCGCGGCCATGAGCCTCTCGGTGGAGGAGGAGATGGAGGCGTTCCGGGCCATCGTCGACGTCGTCACGGCGAAACTCAAGGGAGAGCCCTTAGTCAACGGTGCTTGAACACACACAACCCAACTCTCAGTAGCGATGTTCTGGCGCAAGGAGGTGCTGGTATATAGACCCGAGTCACACAGTTCCAATTCTCCCGCCCCTTGTTTACCGCATTTCATCGACCGCCGCTTGCGATCTTTGGAGGGAGCGGGAGCGGGAGCGAACGGGGCGAGGCCCTCGCTGCTTGCGACTTCCTGAAGTGGATTGTGTGACAGTCACACAAGGGCTTGGGGATGTTGGACATGCGGCGTGCCGGGCTCACGAGGGGGCCCCGGGGTCTGGACGCGGCGGACCGAAAGGTGATGTCCCACGCGTGGCTTCGGGCCGTTCAGCTGCACATCCGGGGTTGCCGGGCTGAGTGTGCAAGAGGGAGAGAGGGAGAAGCGCGTCATCGCGATTCAGTGAGCAGTCTATACAGCGTGACGGATATCAAGGAGACAGCCGCGATACCCCAACGTCATAGACAATAAGGACCGCCATCTCTAGTCTTAACGAGGCTGCGCTCGAGGTTGCTATGACAGCGTGTGCAAATAATGCAAGTGATCTAGATGGAAATTTGGCAGGCGACATGTTAGACCATGGCGTCCGGCACCTACGAATTTTCTGAAAACCGATCCCATATTGCTGGTTCTCGTGGTTCGACGTTTTGACTTTCTTCTGGAATCTCTGGAAGGTGTTTACTCTCCGAGTCTAGAACGTGGCTAAGACGTACCCGAGCAATCTGAGCTGTAATCGTCCGTTGATTTTGGCCATATGGTTCTCATTTAAGATTATTTTGTCCTGTTTCGTGGTAGAAGTTCGGCTCATGAATTTTTTTTTTGTTTAAGCTCTTTCCTCCTCTTCTCTCTTTCTCTTATGAGTTGAGGTACGGGATGCGCTCTGACCGGGGTCATAGGATCTGCACGTAATACCTTGGGTATAGCCATTCCCTTTGTAGAGTCGGCGACTCAACGGCGATGACTCGCGAGGGCAAGAAGTCTGGGAACCTGCGCGGCTCAGAAGTTTGGGTCGGACACAGGGAAAGTTGTCGTTCTCAGATCCACCTTCCAAAGGGGGGCGGGTAAGGTAGTGGGCGGAGATATCCCTTGCGGCTTCAGGTTGAACCCTCGGAGTTTGATCCTCGCCTCCTTTTCCCCCGTTTAAGGATTCAACAGATTCAGAGTTGTCGAGGAAACAGGAAATGTCTACAGTGTACGTACAAATAGCGATGGGAGGATCTTGTCACTTGCGGTGTGCACGAAAGAATGGTTTTCTGAGGCCTGTGCGACGCTTGTGGAGTCCCACCGCATTTCTGGCAACGTCAAAAAGAGAGAGAAAAAGATGCAAGCAACTGCCCGTTCTCAAGGGGTTAGTTTACAGTTGCAGGGGTCGGTCAAGGTCTCTTCTTTTGCGTGTTCCACGTCAGTTGTCCTAGACTCTACCTTGGGAAGATCATCCACTACAAGTTCATGACTTTCAACTCGACGCCAATGCTGGACTGACGATGGCATGCTCGCGAGGCGGCAAATCGAAGATGTTGGAAACTTTCTTTCGAATTCCAGCGCTGAGGCACAACGGCAAGAGCAAGCGTGACCCACGTGCTGTCTAAGAAAAAAGTGAACCCTGGCAGGAACGACAGACTTTATCGACATGGCGTGGTGGGGGAGAGCCTGCCGTGCCTGCCCCATCTGGTCGACGCAGGAGGAACGAGGGGTAGAAAAGAGCACGGGCCATAAGGTAAAGGTACTGCAGTCTGTGAGAGGAAGACGGGACTCCATTTGTCCACAGTTCCATGAGCTCAAGATTTTTTTCTCCTCTTGGTGGGCAGCAGTGCAGCTTGTGGAAGGACTACCAGGACCTGGACTGGACTGAGCGTGAGACCGACACACATCCTACATCGGCAGAGGGACCGACCAGCAGGACGGACCACCTTCCATTTTACACATTTCCTCTGCCGTTTGCAACCGTCTTGAGTTCCCACCTCCTGAGGTACCGTATCGTTTTCCCGGTTTCTAACTGCCTGCCATTTTAGAAGTTTTCCACCTACCTTACCTTATTCATCCCATCGGATTACTTCTATCGCTTCTGCCCCAAAACCCCAACCCCATTCACATGCCCACTGAACAAGTTGTAAACTTGAATCTCACAGCCTGCTTTCTCATTATCGAGTGGTGGATAGGTATCCGTACATACAGTCACATACATATTTGCCTAGATGCTGGAGACAACGGGGAAAGAGGCTTGTGATTAGAGAGGAGAAGGCAGACAACTGATATGCACATGTTCTTTTACACGACACTGATACACAGGTGACAGCTCAGCACATTAAACTTTTGGATATTCATCGCCACGACTGTTGGGATGGACAGAACTCAGAGAGAGAAGACGACCACGGCACGGCTAAAATTAGTACTTGCCGTACTTCTCATTCGCACATGTGCATCTGAGGTGCCTTTGCCTCTTCCCCCCCCCCTGACCACCTTTCTTGCCTGCCTCACCTGCTCAGGTCATTCGAACGGAAAACGGACGCCTCAAACCGCTCGTCTCGCCCACAGAAAGCAGCCATTTGGGGGCCAACGCACCTAACTAACTGTATAGGTACCTTAGCTGCCTTTGCATCAAGGTAACATAATACTGAGGTGAAAGCTGTAGTAAGGTAGTGCGGCGTGTCCTCGCTACGACTACCTAACCTTCTTACGGCGTACCGTCCACGGTACGGGCCCAGATGCGCTACGACGGACCACTAGCGCTGCGACTCTGTGCTTCTTGGACTGGGGACCTTCACTGATCCCACCTCTGCTCAAGGTACCTTCTCCCAAGTCACATTAACCCTTCTCCGTCCGCTCGAAATACCACGTCCAAGGTACCGTTAGGAGGCGGTCTCGTGCAGAGGTACCTTACCTATTACCCGCTACTCCGCCGCACCATAGTTATCGCGAAAAAAAAGCTGACAGGCCGACCCCACCATTTCGCCAGTCAGTGTGTTGCCAGCCGCCAATGTCAACGCCCACTGCCCTTACTACCGACCGTGGCCCTGGCCGAACAACTTCAACGACTGCCCCTCTCTACCCTCCCGCCGTGCTCGACAACCACCCGACCGATCGACCTCACACCATCGCTCCGTCGCTCGAATCCTCCCCCGATTCTCGACCACCTCACAAGTCGCCAGCTTTGGTCTAACATCTTTTTTTCCAAACTACCCCCAGAAAGGCGCCAGTCATGGCCTGGCAGCCGGCCCCAGAGTCCTTGAGCCAGCTGGCTGCTTGCCTCAAGGACTCGCTCAGCGGATTCGACAAGAATGCGCAGAAGCAGGCAGAGATTGTGAGTTGCCCACCATTCGTTCCCTTCGCCCATTGCGACCCTTGCTAACCACCATTGATGCGCAGATGCTCACGCAGGCCAAGGCCTCTCCCGACTTCAACAACTACCTCGCCTACCTCTTCTCCAGCGCTGATCCTCCCCAGGGTGTACAATGCTCAGCCCAAGACTTCCACCTCGTGCGCTCTGCCGCCGCGATTATGCTGAAGAACAACGTGCGCACCAGCTACAAGCAGATCCCCGAGAACAGCTTGGCCCTCATCAAGATGGCCGTTCCCCTCGGTATCCAAGACAAGAATTCCCAGGTTCGCAACTACGCCGGCAATATCGCGACCGAGATCATCAGGAGAGGCGGTATCCTAAGCTGGCC